TAGGCGTACGGGCTCGATGACAGTTAGGGGGGCAGAACCCCGAATGCCCGAAAAAATTTGGGGTTTACAGACAGCGACGCCGGTCTTCCTCGAGAGGCGAAGAAGCGGAGCTTACCTTGTATGGCCCCCCCCCCCCAAGACAATTTTGGAATATTTCACGGCTGCAAACACGTTTTCCTCTATTTAAGCCGGCGAACAAAGCAACTTCAAAGTGGTCTAATATAGCCTAATTAAGATGGCTGACTCAAATTCCAATCCACGGAGACGGGACTGTTGGGAGAAAATTTTGAAAATTTAACTGCCGCAAATGCGTTTTCCTGCTATTCCAGCCCGTGAATACAGCAACTTCAATTTGGTTCAATATAGCCTACCTGGCTGACCCGAATTCCAAACAACCAATCAATCATCGCGGGGTATGGGGGCCTCACCCTCCCGGAGAAAATTTTGAAAATTTAACCAACACAAATGTGTTTTCTGCTATTTTAGCCTGTGTAAGCAACTCCAAAAGTATCCAATGGTTTTGTAACCGAAATCCCATTCTGAATTCCAACCATCCAATCAGATTGTTGCAGCTGCATTCACAAATAATAATCGATGCCCGAAAAATGTTGAGAGCGGCTCCAGACAAAATGTTTTAATCCATAGTCAACTCAGTACAAATTCGTGGTATTCAATTAAAAGAAAAGTAAAATTAGTGTTTTATTAGGGCTGTCATCAGGGAAGCAAAACTAGAAATGCCCGAAAAAATTTCAGGTTTACAAACAGCGGCGCCGGTTTACTTCGAGAGGTGAAGAAGCGGAGCTGACCTTGTATGGAACCCCCAAGAAAATTTTGGAATATTTCACGGCCGCAAACGCGTTTTACTGCTATTCAAGCCCGTAAAATTAGTGTTTTATAGATTTCGGGCACTTTATTAAAATTTTGCCAAGTAGATGAAATAATTTTTTTTTTCACTTTACCCGTCTGCCCGAAAAGTCAGCTTGCCCGAAAAGGGGGGCAGCTGCCCCCCCCCCCCCCCTGCCCCCCTGGCTAGTACGCCTATAGCCCGTCTAAATTTTCCCGCCAAAACGGTGTTTCGATTACTCAGTTTGTATTTTATAAAGATTACATGTCATTTCGGTCCCGCGTCATTTCGGACTTACGTCATTTCGGACTCCAAAAAATATGTCCCCGACATTTCGGACTCGGGTAGGTGACATTTCGGACTCGGGTAGGTGACGTTTCGGACTCGGGTAGGTGACGTTTCGGACTCGGGTAGGTAAGATAGAATTATACAACACACTGACGCCAATTTACTTTATAAACTATTTTATTTATCAACATAGCATAAAATGATAACATCGATTTATAACAACGGGCATATTATTTTATTTTTAAACATACCATATAGCGATAACAACGGTCATATAAAACATTCATTTATTGTATAAATACATACACATTCATACATTAACGCAACATTTATAACAACACGTGTATTTATTTGATGAAAAAATAGCTTTAGTCGGCTATTCATTTTTTTTTTTTTTTTTTTTCATTTTTTTAATTATGTAATTGTTTTTCACTGAGCGGGTGGACCATACAAATGACTTATTTTTTTTAATAGTCTACTAGTGCTCATCTGTTTTTCATTGTATGAATCCCATATATTAAAAAGTTGGCCTTCTACATGTCGATACCGACGTCTTTGGTGTCGTCTCAATGAACCTTCCGACATCATTGTGAGGTCCAGTGGTATCTTTGTAGCTTCTGAAAAAAGTGCGCAAATCAATAGATAAAATGGCACAGGACCTCTGGCGTTGACACGGGAATTTAGTCTGTTGTGCCAGCCCTCCACGTCGTTATTGGTTCTCACTGGCAACATAAACACGCACCAATCTTCTATTGGAAACAGACGAGATGAAATCCATTGATCTTCTATGTATGTACATATCGGCTCTAACTGTTCTGGGCACCTGTCTTTCAAATGGGCAAACATGCCCGCCACGTGTTCTTCGGGCAGGAAAGGGAGAGCCATCAATCGCCTCAAATAATTAAACACGTCCCCCTTTTCGTTGTACGCTGTCTGAAATAATAAAATATTAGAAATATATTAATACTGAAAATCTATTTGTGCACTTGTACTTTAAAAGAAGATATTATAATAAGAATTTTTTTATTTTACTATAAGAAGATTTATTATAAGAAGAACGCACAACATACCTGGAATCCCTTTTCTTGAATTTTCCGGAAAACGGCCTGGGTCCAATGAAACACGCATCCTTGAATTCTTATATCTACAAAACGGCGTCTAAGGGCCTGCCATAACCCCGCCTCAAAATCCACCACAAATCCCTCCAAGGCAATCTGGCTTGGTAGCATCTTGTCCACTGCCCGGAGAACCTGTAAAATAAATAAACCAAACGTTCATTTATCTGATTATATTTATTCATTTATCCGATTGTAATCATTTCTCCGATTATATTCATTTCTCCGGTTATTCATTTCTCCATTTTTTCCGATTATATTTATATCATTTTTTTATTCCGAGTTTATAGATCACATCTTACCTTGTAGTAATCGTCCTGACTCTTCCCGGACATTACACAAAAGACAAGTGGTACCTGCTTCGTGGTTTCCCCGGCTTTTACGAAAGCGTGGATAGAAAATAATTGAGAATATGGTTTGTTGATAACTCGGAAGGTGGCGTCCATGTACCACGTTTTAGCCTTTGCCAAAAGTCGCAGTTGATCTTCAGTGGCAAAGATGTGATGTCGCCTTTCCCCTACTTTAACCCGCTTCTGGTAGAAGCCGGGAGCGTTGCTGTCAATAAAGTCTTCATCCAGCTGAAACGACAAACAATATAATCTTCATCAGCTGGAGGAATGAATATCTGTTCTTTCAATCTTTTAATATATGTACATATCGTTACTTTAATATTTGTATTTTTATATACATACCGTTACTTTAATTTTAGCAGCAGTCAATATACCAGGTTCTGCTGGGTGAATATGCTCTTTCAAACCTTTCTTGAAGTCGGTACCATCCTGAATCACCGTTGCAGGACAAGTCAGGGAACCATTTCTCTTGCAGCACCTCCATACGGTTGTCAAACAGCTTCTTTTTCCCACGTGTTGTTGCTGCCTCTTCTATAGTGTATGCTAATTCAGGTTCTTCTTCAGCAAATACGCTAATATCTTGCTCATCTTCAGACATTGAAGACTCGATAACCGGATCAGGTAGCTGGTATGGTCGTTCAATGGTGAATGATTCTTCGATGTCCATTTCTTCTTCTGTAGGGGGGAGCGGGGCAACACATCTACAGCATTTCCATTCAAAAGCAGTTCTATGTCGGTTTAAACTCCTGTACTCATCCCGAGTGATGCCTGAAATAGTGATAAATAAAATAATAATATTCCCGGATTGCGGGTACGTGTCAATAAATAACAATAACGACAAATTTATAACGTTTCAATAAATAACAATAACTTACAAGCTGAAACGACAAATTTATAACGTTTCAATAAATAACAATAACTTACAAGAAACGACAAATTTAAAACGTTTTAATAAATAACAATAACTTACAAGAAACGACAAATTTAAAACGTTTTAATAAATAACAATAACTTACAAGAAACGACAAATTTAAAACGTTTTAATAAATAACAATAAAGAAAATTTCATTACGTACCGGAATCGCAGGTTCGATGTTGCCATAAAAGACAAGAATCGCACTGGAGGCCTTCTTGTCGAGGACGGACAGGATTGGTACACTTTACGCAATTTCCACTAGCCATGATAGATTCGTGTAAAAATTGAGAATGATTTGAATTGAAATATGGCACATATATATAATACATTTGAGCTTGGGCTCAATCATTTCTTAACGGCTTCATTAATCTCAGCTTGCTTTCATTAATCAACACCAGATTAAATACGAGTTGCAGTGTTTTTATTTCTCAATCATTTCTTAGCGGCTATTAGAAACGCCGATCAGTGTTTTTATTTCTCAATCATTTCTTAGCGGCTATTAGAAACGCCGATCAATTATCGCTATTAATCTTAAATACAACAATGGGATGGTTTCACTAATCGCTGGATTCACTAATCGCTAGATTAAAACAACAATCGCGGATCGATTATCGTCAACAATCTAAACTAATTCATCGTCAACAATCAAAATTTACTCATCAAAATACAATAATATCCGATCAAGTAAATAAACAAATACAAAAAAGGCAAGTAGCATAGGTTTTACTTCAAGTTCAAGTTCAAAGGCGTGTTGTCAAGTAATGGCCTGTATGGGATAAATAAAACAAGACTAACAATGTTTAAATCTTTATTAATGTGAATGGTCTGTCTTGAGCCTCACCTACAACGAAAGAAAAACAGCTATTACTAATATATACACACATAATTTTAAGTTTTATTTGAGTCCGAGTCCGAGTCCGAAATGTCGCCGGTCCGAGTCCTAAATGTCGTTTGACTGAGTCCGAAATGACACCGAGTAAGTCCGAAAAGTCGCCATACTGAGTCCGAAACGACGTTTGTGCTGAGTCCGAAATGACGCGGGACCGAAATGACGTGCTACCTTTATAAAGTAGTCATTTCTATTATTACAAACGAAATCATTATTAAGTAAAGATCGACAAACACTTTAAACGTAGTCATCATTAACACGGAGAACAAGCAGGCAATAAAAGAATATACGGTACGAAATTCACGATAAAAATTTCCCGCCACAATGGCACACACATTCTAAGGGAAACAACTCCTTTAGGAATTATTTTAATGAACGACCCTTTCTTTGTATGACAATGAAGACTATCCATCTGCGAGCCTAAAATATTAGGATTAAATACAAACCAAATTAAAATTTATAATAATTTGATAATATACATGTATCAAAAGAAGCTATTAGCTATAATTAGGATAAATAAAAACTAAAAATATTTAAAACCTGTCTTGATATCAATTTGCTGCTGATTTTGTTTACATTTTTGTCAAGGAAGGATAGAACTAATAGAAGGAAGAAGCGCAGTCGGCAAAAAATAAATGAGAATGTTCATACTAAACAAAAATTAAAATTGTCTTGAATGTTTCGGTGAAAAAAAAAATCGTCTAGACCTCATTATTTAAAGACTTATATTTGTTTCATTTCCCACCAGCTTTCACTATGATGCAATTAAACCTAACTCGTGTTGATTACTTGCAGGTAAACCTAAAAATTACCATGGCATTGGCATATTCCATATCCACCTAGAAATTATGGTATTGATTGATACCACACATTTTTCTTGACTGATGTGGTTATTTATTCAATTCCTCAAACACCTAAAAATACAATTGAGCATATAGCCCTACCAGAATGCTCTCATAATTATGCTAGTTTTCATTCTTAGCCATCATCATAGTTTCAAATTGAAAACTGAATAAACAGCAAGCCTCAATATGTAGCTGGGGCTAAATGACAGCTATTGCAATAATACTTGATTAAGACATCAGTAGGTAATATAATTCAGCAAATGATATAATTCATCAGTTTGCAAAAGTTTTATCGCTTATTGAGCTGGGTTGTTGCATACCCGGCCCAATGTAGTGACACGACTTTCGTTTATCTGCAAATATTGTCAGTAAAGTTACTCAAGCAGTGTGTTTAACAAAGAGATGATCTATACCTGTGTCGGGTAGGATTATATGCTTAATTGTAGTTGGATGTGGCAGAAATGTAATAAATAGCAATAAACAATCGTAGTTTGGAACAAAACAAAATGACAGTTTTGCTCATTGAAGTACTATGTGAATCACATCTGCACTTGCCAGAAAGAACTATAGTAATTTAGTAATTGAACTGGAGTATACAGGTCACAATTCTATGGAATACAATTACTGCTTATTACTGAGCGACGTTTCAACTAGGCTTCTCTAGTCGTTATCAAGCAATGATAAAATATAAAATTATAACAAGACAGAGTAGATGAGAGTAGTTGATCTGTACACGTACCTTCATCTAAACCTTGCATGTTAATGAACCAGTTATTTCATGTACCTGTATAGTTTTATAGTGTGAGAGTTGGAATTATAATTTTAGTGTACTTCCTGAAAATGGTGAAAATTTATTTGGGCTTTTTAATGTGTAACAAACAAAAGGCATCATTTCATTAAATCCAAGTATAAAAATTTGAATTTATTAAATTTGCCAATATTACAGTGTCTAAAGATATAAATTTGTTGTATTTCAGGTGGGGATTACTTCTCCTAAGTCTATGAGATTATTACCTACAACTGGTAAAGTTCAGAGGGTGAGTTTTTTGTTCATAACATTAAAGAAGCTGTCCCAAATTTTTTGCAATATATGCATTGATAAAAGTGGATTCAAGTAGGCAATCCAATCTTTTTCACAGAGGATTATGAAAGTCTTCTAATATCTTTGTAAAAGATAACTACATTCAACAATGGGCATGCATTGTTTACTTAAGACATTACTGGTTCGGGCGGAATGGAGCCTTTTACTCATTTTAATACCTATTTACACTAAATAGGAAATAATTTTTACCTACAAATACGTCAAACGTCTTTATTTATTTTTCTAATACATAAAAAAAAATGTTTTAGAATTTAATTTGTTGTAGGAAAAAAGTTAATATTTGTGGCTCATGAAGTTGCATCGATGTCATCCTTATCAGTGATTGTCGCGGCCTAGGGAATATTCACTGCTGATCAGTGTGTAGGCAGTCATGTACCAAAATGTGAAGAACTAGTTTAATAAGATATACCTTGTCTGAAGGGTTTAAATCCTAATTATTGCTAGATATAATCAACAGGATTACATAGCTAATATTCAGAATTCAATTTTTGTAATGTATATATATATAGGCATGTATATAGATATGGTTATCCAGACATTTATGTTTGTTTTATTATAGATAGCAGTAGGTGATAATAATGGTTTATTACAATGTTTTGGTGTCAAGAAAGGAGAAACACAGGTGATATATTCTGGATAAATATTGTATACACTATTGTATGTGCTACGATGATGGGTTGGTAGTATATGAAATCTGTAGAATATATTATTAATTGGTGGATTGAGACAACAATTTGCAGTCCATTCTGCTGTAGGCCCTATGTTATAACAACAACATTTAGCTTGCTTTTCCCCATGGATTGATTTACTAATGTAATCTTTCATGAACAACAGTCTTAGATTTTCATAACATGTTGTTAACAGGTCCAAAATCAGACAGATTAAAGTATGCCCATAGTAACATCATATTCATTCTTCATATTTTCAGCAAACATTCCAGACCAATCTTTCGCAGAAAATAAGTCGCTTGGAGTTGGGCGGACCTGTAGGTGGCGTTAAAGATCGTATATTCATCGCTACAGGACCAGAAATAAAAGGTTTCACAAAGAAAGGAAAAAATTTCCTTACATTTGACACCAATATGTCTGAACCTGTTCAATCATTGTAAATATTTTGTTCTTCTACATTTTCTTTACTTCTGCAATTGTTTGATCAGTACTAACAAAAACTGAAAATCACAAATTCCTTGCTCAGCAAAGGCTAATTTTATTGCATGGAGTTCTCGATAGAATTATTGTTATTGCTGCAACTCCTAATCCCTGTGTCATTATTTGATGGTTACTTTGCCCTATCAACTTATATTTGAAAACTACTTTTCAGCCATGTTCAAGGATCTGATTTATTTGTTTGTGGTAAATTTATCTACAATCATTATCGAGATTGTAAAGACGTCAATGATTTTCTGTGTGGAGATGAAATCAATGATGTTTTATGTTTACCATTGGACCGAGTCCCTGAAGCAACCCCTGTTTTAGCATGTCAAGATCGTGTATTGAGAGTTTTACAAGTAAGGACAATAGACTATTTTTCCATATTCTGTTACTTCAAAATTAATTTTGTACGAATAAGTTTAAAAGATGAAAATCATGTCATTCAAGAACACAATGATCCATTTATTAAATATTATTATTATTATTATTTTGTTGTTATCATAGATTTATTATATAGTGCCCTTTTCATAAAATGTTCAAAAGTGCTTTACAATAAAATAAATATGATTTATTCAGCTATAAATTATGTGTATAAATTATATGCAGGGTTCATCTTTATTATATGAAGTAGAAGTACCAGGTCCACCAGTTACTTTACAAATATATGATGTTAATGGAGGTAAGCTGACAGTTTTGTCTTTAAGTGGTACACAGTCAGAAAGATAGTCAATTATTTTTATTGATCTACCTTGTTCACTTGGGGGGTTGGATGGCTGAATGGTGAGCGTGCGCGCGCTATATCATAAAGTCTGTCATTGGGTCGACTGGCGTGGTTTCGAATCCCCGGTTGTACGTGACAAGGAGTAGGGTCGCCTGTCCAACCTCGTGGGTTTTCTCTGGGTCCTCCGGTTTCCTCCCACTGCTAAAGACCCCTACGCGCAAGCGAATTATTGAAATAAAATTAAAAACCATATGTTAGTCCCGAAATGACCTAGTTTGTGTCGAGTGGACGTTAAACCCCATTTCTCTCTCTCTCTCACCTTGTTCACTTGCTGATTTATAAAAAACCAAGAAGACAAGAGAAGTCTTGTCTCATGGTATAATTGGTTGGCAAGTGTAACAGGTAGGACAATAAAAACATCCATAATTACTGTAGCTGTGCTTAATGAGTTGGTAATGTTTGTAAACAAAGAGAGTATAGTATAGTAGTTGAAAATACCACTGTCAGTGCAAAATTATCCACCGAAAGTGACTTAGGTCGAGTAGAGTATTGAAGATATCTAAAAAAAAAAAAAGAAATGAAATGGGGTTTAACGTCCTACTGTTTTGCTCCAAACTGGGCTAATGAAGACGGTTGAAGATATCTGAAATCCTGTGTAATATGAATAAATTTACCTTGAATTATGTTCTTTATAGGTGAAGAAGGAAATGAAGTATTATATGGTACATCAGATGGTAGAATTGGTCTTGTTTCTCTAGGATTGTAAGTACGATATATAACAAGGTATTTACCAATATATATTAAATATTAGTTTAAAGATAAGTCCAGCCATTGCAAATTCTTTATATTTTGTGCATTTCCTTGTATGTAACAGATCTTGTTATGAAATACATTATTTGTGTTTATTTCAGATTATCACCATCTCACAGGTGGGAATTACCAAATGAAAAAAGAAATGGAGGTAAGGAAAAATGAATCAAACAGTGTGCTGTGAGGGAAATTGCCCAGACTAAGCGCTACGGCTTATTCTAATTTCGAAATTCAATTGTCAAGAGATCTATTATGTATACGCCAATGTGTACATATGACCTATTTTTTGTCCCATCCCGACCGACTATACGTTGTCCCTTGCCAGCTCCTATGTCCTGCAACATTTAAGGGATTTATATTACAGTAGAATCTGCATTAAGCAGCCACCCAAGGGAATTTTCACGACTGACGGCTTATAGGGAGTGGCCTCTTAATAAATTCTTGGTGCTTTTTGTGCTGACATAAATTAAATATTACGCTTGGATGCATTGGAAGCGAACATCAATACTTGCATCGGTAAATTTGACCGTCGCTGAATCTTGCGCCGAATGAAAATTCTTTACTCAAGTCTCGGACATAACTTCTGTAAACTTGTCATTTTGTACCAACCTTTGATACTACTGTCTACCATTGTGATGCATTTGATAATATTTATCCATTTTTGTGAAGACAATCGATGAATAAATTTTATTTTATCAAAAAAGCACATGAACCAAAAAAACATTGCTGATTTTATCACCTATTTACAGGGGGTGTAACTCTGTATGTAATATTATAGGAGGCCCTAAAACATCTGTTAAACAACAAAGTGGCAATGGAAAAGAGATACTAGATGATCGTGACAAAACTCGGTACTTTTATTTTATTCAATCAGTATCAAATAATGTGTCGTTACGCGTGAAATCAATGATCAGGGTAGTTGTTTAATAAAACAAAAGATTAATTAACAGATAATCCCAGGTTGATTGTTATTTTTACATTTCTTTTTACCTGATCAGTGGGGGTCCAGATAGAGGTCGCAGTGGATCAATTTCGAGTTGTGTAAAAATATGCAGACATTCCAAAATTTTGCGTTTTTGCCCTCTACATCTGCGTGACTTAGTTAGAGCCTTTCAAAATACTCAATATAGAAGCATGTAAAGTCGTTTTGTGAACAACCCTATTTTAAGCGTCCTTATTTCATTGATATGCCTTCTGTATTTAGTCTAATGACTACTGGAGGTTGACGGCACAGTCATTTCAATCTTTCACTTCGACAGGACTTAAAGAGAAAACTATCGCTATGAAAGCCAACATTTGATTGGCTGAATGTAAACAGTATATCGTGTTCTAGCCAATCCCAATTCTTGTATGAAATGCGCTTTATTGCTTCCAATAGGATAGTTACGTAGGCTTACTGCCATGAACTTATGAATGAAATAAGAGGAAATATAAAAAACTACAGAGACTACGTGCAGTAGAGGTGTGTGTAAATGCCGGGTGAAGCACATAAATTGTACAAACTACGACATAGAATAATCTAATTATTCTCACGTCGGGGAAATTTTCTGCGTGTAAATTACGCAGCGTCCGCCAATATTTGCGTTTATTTTGAAAAAAATGCGTGAGATATGCGGATTTTTGCGTGACTGCGACCTCTGGGTCCAGTTAATTAACTACTACTCATGGGATTAGCGGGGGTCTTTCAAAGAACGACAAGATGGTATCATTCAACAATGGCCGTTGAATGGGTGATGTTTTGTCGAATTTATTAGTAAAATACTGACCGCTGGCCGCGTTAGAGGAGTGACTGTTGAATAAAGAGATGAAACAATAGAATTTTTACGGGGGGAATTTATCGTGACCGCTTACAAGGAGATGTCGCTGAATAGGAGTGGCTGCTCATACAGATTCTACTGTATATGTTTTTCATTCCATTCAAACAACTATATGGTGTTGTCCCTTGCCAGCCCCTTCTACCTGCACCACTGACAGGGATCAAACACAGATCCTCCTGGTTAGCGAGCCATTGTCTTACTTACTCAGCCACCATGGCTCCCATTATGTTATATATGAGATTACGTGTGTTATGTTTGTTTTAGATGTGATGAGGTGTGCTATTTTAATATTATAGGTGTGCTATGTTAATGTTTTAGATGTGTTTAAGTGTGTTATGTATGTTTATATTGTAGGTGTGCAGTGTTTATGTTATAAATGTGTTTATGTTATAGATGTTTTTAGGTGTGCTATGTTTATATTATATGTGTTTTTAGGTGTGCCATGTTTATGTTATAGGTGTGCCATGGTTATGTTATAGATGTGTTTAGGTGTTCTATGTTTATAATATATAGGTGTGCTATGTTTTAGATGTGTTTAGGTGGACTATGTTTATATTATATGTGTTTTTAGGTGTGCCATGTTTATGTTATAGATGTGTTTAGGTGTGCTATGTTTATAATATATAGGTGTGCTATGTTTTAGATGTGTTTAGGTGGACTATGTTTATATTATAGGTGTGTTATGTTTCAGATGTGTTAAGTGTATGTTAAATTTTGTCTGCCATATTGTTTTGTTTTTGTATTTATGTTCTTTCTGTTACTATAATAAATTAGAAATAACCAATAGATTTGAGGGATATATTATATTTGTGTTTATATTTTAGGTGTGTTATGTTTAGAGAATTATGATATAACAGCGGATGGTGTGTTAGATCTGTTAGTTGGTAGAGATGATGGACAGATAGAAGTTTATAGTTACGATGAATCAGATGAACCAATACACAGATACAGTCATGTAAGATTATATACCTGTCTCAACTTACAATTTTGTTTTACAGTGATGCAAGATGAATTTGAAGAAATCTTCAGAATATATTAATAAATTCTTGAATTCAAATTAATTTTAGACAAGTGGCATCATTAATAAACTTATGTGCACTCAGGGGAAAAGTCATCATTCTAACAGATGCAGGACAGTAAAGCCAGGAGAGGTTGTGGTTTTATTTGGGTATTTCAAGGTCAGGAATGATAGTATGTAATTGACTTGACAGGAAGAGAGTAGTGATGTGCCAATGTGACTACTATTGGTTTTACAGATATCAGGTGTAAAACCATCTATCTTGTATTATGTTTAATAGTCACAGCGACACAGTATCTGCAAAATGGCTGTGTATTGGCATATACCGATTTTTACCAATAGACCACTTATCGGCTAATTACCGATGGTAGAACTGATAATCGGAACGTCACTAGTCTTATAGGCTAATTACCGATGGTGGAACTGATAATCGGAACATCACTAGAAGAGAGCAAATTCACTTGTCAGTTGATAAAACCATGTTGTGTGATCATTACATTTAGTTATTATATTCAGTCTAAAAGGATGTGTAAAATGATAATAGCTTACCATTATCAACTGTATATTTATCATTGAATTCTTCATGTTATTGTGAGTTAATGATATTTGATGTGTATTTTACAGACATGTAGTGAAAGTGTTAGATCTATACAAGGTGGTATAGTTAATACACCAGGTTATGATGAGATAGTCTGTTCTACATATGCAGGTACATTAATTATTCACAGTTAATTAGTAATTAAAAAAAACTTTAAAGGTGTAATTCTTTAGATGTCGGGTTCGTTCCCATTGTTGGCAGAGAAAGCTCCTTAGGATTTTCCAGGGTTGTTTCCCCTTGTCAGTAGTTCAGGATGGAGGGTCTAGCTAGGAACTGCATCTAGTCTGTCAGATGATATGAAAAACCATGGTCCTGTCGACACAATTTTGGCATGCAGGAAGGATGACAGTTGGATATGTAGGATTATTTGTGAAGATTTTTGTTTTCGGTAAGAATAATTGGCACAATACAGATGCTTTGTTATTGTCAAATTCACTTGAATAAGGAGTAGGCTGGTCAGACTGAAATTTCACTGAAAACACCCTGCACAGGGTCTGCCCATCTTCATTAGGCTGGTTGGTTCGGAGAATTAGAACGTTAAACAAATTTTCATTTCCATTATGTCCAAGGTCCTTATTATATACCATATCAGTTCAAGAATTTTTATTTGTAAAGTCTCTAGCTTTATTTTTATAGGTTAAGAAATCTGTTTTAGGTTGCTGTAGACAGTTTAATTAGTTCTGGAAGGAACAAACCTTCATTTGATAGATAGGATTAGGACTAATAGGAGTGAAGATTTTTGTCTTCGGTAATGTCTTCAGAAAGAATAATTAGCACAATATATAGCTTCTATTGTAAAATTACTTACACTTTTCAGGAAGTTTGTTTGGGTTAGCACATAAACCTAAACCTAAAGGGGTCATTATTGATAATAATACTTTGACCCATGAAGGTCGAGAAAAAATAAGATTGTTGAGGTAAAAATATGGAACTATTATCGTGACTTCTGCTTGGAAATTAGACATTCTATAATATACTGCATGGTGGAAGTGGTTTATTTAATGGATTTATCTTAGCTTGAAGTTTAAACAATGAATATGAATGAATGAATGAAGTTCTTGTTGATGGTTTATCTATATATAGCATTGTATTTTCAGACTGTATGTTTGTGCTTTGCGACTTAGGCCCATATTGGTGAATTCAATGACAATAACTATAATTTTAAGTTAATTGAAAACAGTCTAATTGATGGTTTGATATATCAACTGTATCTATATTGTGTGTTGTACTTTAAAGAGTTAATGTAAAGATTATACACTTTTAGTTTCTATTTCTGTTGATTATGCTGAAATAAAAATTTAATTGTGTAGAACTTGCCTGATTAGCAATCAAAAAAAACCCAAACAACCCAGATCCGCCAAATTCAACACACTTTTCAGTTTAAGTTTGGACATCCTGCTACTTTAAAAAGGTATTATCACTCTCAAGTCTCTCATCAGAAAAGTAAATACTGTTCAATTTGAATATCATATTTAGATAATCTATTAATCAATAAACCATACACTGATTTCATTTCTTGAAAATGACTGAAAAATATTTGCGACACATATATTGAAATGTGTGCATCTGAGCTATGGTTTGCATACAAACTAATATGAAACATGTCATGCCTCTTTAATCAGCTAAACAAAATGTCAAAAGATTACTTCTGGCTTGTCTTACTCCATTCGTTACTCCTCAAAAGACACTCATGATATTCAAATAGTGTTTAGTTGTAATACAGACAATTCCAATTCTACGCATTAATCATTGACACCTAATCAAATGTATCGATAATTAAAAACTTTTGAAAGCTTTTGTAGAATTGTTTGTATAGCAGAATATGATTGGTAGATTGATCTGGATTCACCTGATCATAATCTGCCATTTTGGAATGCACACAAAAAATGAGATGAACTTAATGAAGTGGAGTAAACAACCCCAACATTATTGTATAACTTCCTGATATGTCAATTTTCTACATGATTAAAATAGAATACATATTTAAACCACTAATAGTAATATATCCTGCTACTTTCACTTTTTATTATATTTAAAGTCCTAACTTCAAACTAAAGACGCATTATATATGTAAGAGCTAAAAATCCTTTTTCTGGTGTCAATTGAATAGATTAAAACACCCTTGCCATATCAAATGGATAATTGAGACTTTGTTTATTATCGTAGCAACTTATTATTAAATCAACAATCTAGACTATTTAAGCTATATGTTATCAAAACATGAAACACTCATAATTTCGCACTGAATAAAGTATTTGGTTGGACTGAAGTTTTCAATATATGTGTTTTTAATTATCTAATTTGAACTATTATAGCAAGAACGGTCTGCTCTTTATCTAAATCTTGTATAATGCATCTTTAAGAAACAAGTTTAAATAAGATTAAAAAGTTTTATAGATAACAAATTTAGCAGGATAGATTATTCATGATGTATATACTTATATTATATCTAGATAGAATTTAATCATTAATATTGCATGTTGCATGGTTATAGGTTGGGTATTTGGGCTTACGTCAGAACATCAAACTAAGGAATTTGGTCCAGAGGAAGTATTGGTAGAATCAGGAACGGCTAATAAATTAATGGGCCTTAAGTAGGTACACATAGTGTGTGTTTTAGTGTGTAGCACTTAGTTTATTATTTAAGCATGTAGCAAGTTTTGTAATATTTAAACTCAACTTCTATAAAAGAACCTTCTTATATTCTCAGAACTTATACTTTATTTTTTCGATTTTTTTCAAGCGTGACTAGCTGTCTTTCATCTTTCTTTAACTTTCATTGTAATTTTCTTTCTATCATATTATTTGAAGAAAGACCTTTTTTGTACACTTTTTATGAACCTTTCCCATTTTTATATGCCCACATTTAACGTGCTAATAGTCTTGTCACTCAAGATTTTTGTTCTTTGTTTGCTTTCTTGTATTTTAATATTTTAATATTAAGTGCATTGTTTTTACATATCTTTTGATTTCTTTATATGTAGCATATGTGTATATGAGCATATTTTGTTCTGTCACACAACAGAAAACCTTAAAATAATTTTTACCTATTCATAATTGTTGTCTGACTTCACTTTGTTTTTATACATCCTCAATATATATTTAGTATTTCATACATTCACATCAGTCATCAGTCTTGCCCGTCCTCCTGTCAAACTTTTTAATCTCTGTGTTTTCTAAACTTTAAAACCTTCAAACACTCTAGATATTATAAACATCAGACGCCTTAAACGACTGGTGGGTGCAGATTCAATCTGATTAAAAAACAGATCCTATTTCGTTTTTTATAGTTCAAAATTTCCTTTTACTTGTCTTTACCACACTAGAATCTGGAAGACTTGTTATATAACTCGCATTCTGGATGATGTCTTTGATTGGCCAATGAAACGATCTGTTATGGCAAGGTGCACGGAACTTTGGTTAAACCACTAGAAATGCTCTTATGATACCTGACACGGCCTTCCACTACATCCGGTCAGATCTTCGTGTAATGTAGGCCATTGAAAGTATAAGAAAATGAAACGAAATATAGATCTGTACTTTAATCAGATTGGTGCGGACTTGGTTGTCTGGCAACTATAGTTAGAACTCGATATAGTTTATTCTGTAAATTAATTATCTTATGAATTGTTCGTAAGTGATAGAATCATAGAAATGTTAAATATGAATAATAGAAATGAAAAAAACCTTCATTATCAAGAAAAATTTTAAATGATAATTATGATTCGATTCAAGTTCAGCAACCAGAAATAATTAGATTTCAATACCATTTGTAATATAGTATATTTTAATCATGTATGTGATATTTTGAATTCTGTGTTAATATAGAGAGGATTTAGAGGAGTTACAACAGAAAGTGATGAAAGAGCGGGAGAAATATCAACAGACGGCTTATTCTGATACAGCAGTATCAGCTGTACCCATGTTTAAAATTAACGATAAGTTTGTTCTGAATAGAGAAGATGCCAGTTATACATTGAGTCTAGAATTACAAATGCCAATAGACAATATACTTTTACAGGTAAATTATACTAATACATTATTGCAGTATGTCAGGTAAAACAATTTCTCGTCATTGATTTCTAGTCAATTTAGAGTAATGGTATGGACTAGTGTTGCGGCTAAAGCTGGGAACCCAAATTTTTCAAGATAGATGCCGACAAATAATCCTACACACAAGTGAATTATTAAAATAAAGATATGACCTACTTTGTGTATAGTAGATGTTAAACCCCATTTCTCTCACTATCTGAATCTCTCCATTTACTTATCTTTTAATATAAGTAATAAAAATTATTTTCAAGGTTAACTGAAATTAATTAAAATTCTATTGTTTGATAGAGTGATGTACCAGTTGATTTATTAGATGTAGAGAAAAATTCAGCTGTTGTTAGTCATAGTTCCTGTAATCCTGAGGTAAATATATTATCATACCTTATTTCATTTAAATTTAAATTAGACCATAGTTTTATTTATTTTTATGTTTTATTTATACATTTACACCACACCATGATTACGGTATGATCTAACAAAATCAATCTGTGAAACAAGCTGATTAAAATACAGATCTATATTTCGTTTTTTTTTTTTTTATAATTTCGGTGGCCTCTACTACATGAAGATCTGACCAGTTCTAGTGGGAGGTCGCGTCAGGGGTCATACGAGCGGCTTCTGACCCTATGCGTTGGACATTTGATTATCCAATCAGCGTTGATGTTTCTAGGGGATTACCCACATTTCTGTACAACTCGCGCCAAAACCTCGGTGTTTCATTGGCTAATCCCTCACATCATCCACAACATGGGTTATATAACATCTCTTCCAGATCCTAGTGTAGTAAAGACGAAATTTTGAACTATAAAAATCAAATCGAAATAGGATCTATGTTTTAATCAGATTGTCTGTAAAAGAACACAATTGCATGTTACTCATAACTTAAAATGGAAAATATAAAGAAAGGTTTTATATTAGGAATACATGTTGCTAAACCTGTACATGTATAAGAAATTTATTAAATTAATTGAATGTATTTGTGGTTTCAGGAAGGTAATTTTGTGTTGGCTACTTATCGTTGTCAGGCTAATACAACACGTTTAGAGTTAAAGATACGATCTATAGAAGGTCAATATGGTACAATACAAGTTTATATTACACCTAGAATACAACCAAAAACATGTCAAGTTAAACAATATCCAATTAAACCATTATCTTTACATCAACGTACTCATGTCTTTGATAATAAAAGGTAAGTTTCTTCCTCTTCAACGGTAGTTAACTACAACTAATATATCTGAAGAAGACTTGTTCCAGTTCAAAATTCCAGAAATATATGCATATATATTCAACAGTTTCAAACTTTTTCTTACCTACCTGTCTGATCGGGCAAGTTGGAAAACAAAACAGTTTTGATATCCAATATTATTTTCGTCAATGAAGAGTAAACAATTAACAAAATTGGTGAAAAGTTATCGAGAATGGAATGACTGTGATAGAAAGGATCGTTCTGATCTAATCCAAACATGAGGAAGTTTGAATTCTGTCGATGTCATCTAGTGTCTACTTCTATAGCCAATGTGTTGCTTAAGTGAAAGGATGGCTGAATGGTTAGCGCGCTGAATCATAAGATCTGTCATTGACTCAACTGGCGTGGCTTCAATTCCCTGGCTGTGTGTGACAAGGAGTAGGGTCGCCTGTCCAACCTCGTGGGTTTTCTCCTGGTCCTCCAGTTTCCTCCCACTGATAAAGACCCCTACGCGCAAACAAATTATTGAAATAAAATTGAACCATATGTTAGTCCCAAAGTGACCTAGTTTTTGTTGAGTTGTTAAACCCCATTTCTCTCTCTCTCTCTCTTAAGTGGAAGCTTAACAGTGTCGAGCATCCCCTGTGAGCATCCCCTGTGAATAAAATTGTTTTAAAATCACAGGGAAATTCTGAAACATTTTTTGATGTGCTTTTTTTACAGACCATGTAATACACTAAAGTTAACAGGACAGTTTAGTTTAGCTGAGGTACATAATTGGGTTTGTTTTTGTTTACCTGAGTTACCTGATAGAACTCCAGCTGGTGATACAATGGTATTCCATTTTACATCTACATTCCTTGATACACAGTTAGAATGTTCTTATAGGTATGTTTCCTTAATATTAATCACGTAGAAAACAAGGTGATAAAAATTCTAAAATTGCCAACATAGTCCGCTGAATGTCAAATGAGTAGTATCATCTTCAGATTGTAGTTTGAATTCTTCTTTATATAGTAATAAATCCATAGAATTCAGCATGCTAGACCTCAATCTTTAGTACAAAGAAATTTGGTCTCTCAACATCAGTAGCTTGATAATTAGCCCAGCATGATCTATGTGTTTTGTTTTTTTAATTTAGTAAGTTTTCCTAAAGAACTAAATATCAGGTTGGTGTGGTCATCTGATTGTAAGCCAAGAATATTTAACTTCTTTTATTGTTTCCTAAAATTAGTCAAGTCCCTTTCAAACAATACTTGTTATGAACTTATAAGTATTTTCAATTTTCTGTTTTTTTAATTTGTAGGAAAGGAGAAGCCACATTTAAATCTGATAATATTTCAACAATATCCATATTAAAAGATGTTTTATCTAAAGAAGCTACCAAGAAAAAAATTAGATTAGATATCAATTATGGTAAGATAGATATTATTTATTATGAAATATTTGACTGTCGTCCATTTATAAAAGTGGTGCATTTTCATTGCATGTCAGTATATTTGTATTGTCAAACATGTAAATCAAATAGTGATTTAGGAAACTTATATAACCGTTGATATTTAGTTTGATTATGTTATATCTTTCAGATATCAATGAAAATTCTATTCCACATACTCTTGGATTAATTCATCCTAAACTAGAATATCAGTTATTACTAGCAAAAAAGGTTCAACTTATAGATGCTTTAAAGGTGAGTTCAAGTGAGACCATACAATAAAAATATTGTGATTATCAGACGATCATTCTCACAATCTGATGTCAATAACATTTATCATGGACATTTTTGATAGGTTTTCACGGTTAAACATTGGGAATATAAAATTATAAAGGCTAGAAAATTAAAATATGTAAAAAAAAAAAATTTCAACATGTCTCTCAGTGAGAAGTATACCGTAAACCTTTACAACTAGAAGCCGGTTATAAAATTTTGGGAAACTAAACCAGTTGGTTTGACTGGTTCATTACTATCAACATGGGCAGATTAATTAAGGAAACAGTCTTAACAATGGTGCACAAGCAATTTTATAAAATACAAAGTCTGTATAGTCTTCAATTTTCCATGATTTTGTAGGAATTACAAGTTCATGAGGCTGATAACAATTTCTTGTCACCTGAATATCAACAGATTTTAGAGGAAGCAGACTCACTTCAAATAGAATTCAAGAAACAGCCATGTCATTTAGAAAGACTTTATGGTAAATGTGGAGTTGTTTATGTTCAGTAGTTTGTATACAACCATACTGATGACTAGTTCATTTTTTACTGAAATCAAATGAAATGGGCTTTTCTGCTCTGACTAGGCTAACAAAGACGGGCATTGGCCATGCAGTGTGCTATGAGGCAAATTTTGTGCAGCCTACTGTTATTATTATTATTATTATTATTGTTCGATTTATATAGCGCTTCATTACACATGAGTATTTCTAAGCGCATTCACAACAAAACAGTTCAAAATGTGTACACAGGACATTTTTCATCTGGGTCTGAATGACTAAACACTTTCCCTGTCAGAATGTCTGTCCTGCACCATTGACAACGGGCAGCCACACTGGAATTTCCTGAAGAACTTTCTTGGTCAACATTAGGAGGGAACCTGAGAACTGCTGGTCTTGCTCACTGTACCAGCTGTTTATTAACATCAATCTCAACTGAAATTGAAGATTGTGTATCAAACAATTTGTAGGCTTTTTGCATAATTTTGTAATTATTTACCCACATCAGTTAACGTATAGTTCATGAATTGAAATTTTCTTTTTTCAGGAATGATTACTGATCTATTTATAGATAAAAATAAGTTCAAAGGTCAGAATGTGAAAACTAAAGTACCTGCATTGTTGGAAGTATTGGATAACTATGAATTAAAAACACTGGTGGATTTTTTCGAAAATTCAGTCTAAATTAAATATTCATCAAAAGTGGAAATTTATGTGCAACAAATAATAATCATGAATGGTCAGATTAATCAAACTTTAAAAAGCACCAATAATATATGACAAAAAATATTCACAGGTCATAAAAACAAACATTTTCTTTGTAGTAGTTTAATAACATTTGCTCAATATGCCTATATTTTCATGGCTTGTGTTTAGCTATCACAGATGTCAGTTATGTTTTGTTTTATATTTTACTGTTTTACTACATTTACATCTAACATATTAAAGAAAGTGTTCAGATCTTATTGAGCAATCAAATTGTCTATATTGGAATTCAAGGATATAATGGGTTCAGGGGTTGTCTGTGATATCACTACCATGGATGCAGATGTTATACCTGGCCAAACAAATGCAAATGTTATACCTGGCCAAACAAAGATTGTTATTGAGACATAGTTAATATGAATAACATTATTGGTATTGTGCAACGATTCAATTCACTAGTACAGAGTGCTCTAGACTCAAGAAAATGTTCAATCTTAGATTGTTAACGATGGTTGCTAGATAACCAAGTGTCACTTGAGGTTTAAAAATTGACCCCGAAAGACAGCGTTTGATAGATTCTCAAAGTGTATTCTAAACAGATGATGCACTATATTGAAGATTTCTGGATCCAAATGTTTTCATGTTATAGGTAGGTCCATCCAATAATGATTTGCCTTCTTATCTTAATGAACTTTTGGAGATATAATGACACTAGATTTTGAAGATAACATGAAGCAGATCTGTTAATAGATCAGATTTTAAAGTGAATGCAATTTTGAAAACGGTAACAAATCTTTACTGAAGATGTAACATTCTTAACTGCAGATATGTGATAGTTGTTTTATCTTTTTTGAATAGTAGTGCTTACAAAATTTTGGAACTTTTTATCCAATGGATTAGAATCTTTAAAGTCGAATTCTACTTTGTTTTTTTGTTGTGTTTTTGTAAATAAATCAATACATGTAATTGTATATCAGTTTTACATACCCAAGGCTATGTTTGTGATATGATATATCCGTCCTTCACTAATATTGTAATGTGTTATTTTATAACATTCATCATCTAGATGCATGTTTATAAGGCCAAATGAATTTGATCTTTAGTTATTCGGTATCTTAATTCTTGATTAAAGTAGCACCACATGAGCTATGTTAAATTTAGGAAGCAAAACTAAAAATCAAATAAGTGTGACTAAACTGTATTTATTTTCAGGAATAAACAATGATTGTTTTGTATATTAGTGAATTTCATTGTTTTCTCTGTATTTTTTGTAAATTATTGATTTTATGAATAAAAAAAATGTAATTTATTTTATCAGAAAATAGTACCGTACTTCCACACTTTAACCACAATATATTCATAAGATACTAAAGGATAGATAATGAGCTAAAAAAGGTTCAACACAAAATACATGGTATATGAACCTGGTAATATATATTATAGAATAAAGGCATACCCTGCCTTGAGCACAGCTGCTTATTCCTAGCAATGTGATAGTTTGGAGTTGGATTTTAGAAGCTGAATCTTATTGGTAGATGGCAATGGCTTCTAACATTGTTATCCCCTGTTTTGCAAATACAAGAGTTAAACAAAAATTGTTTAGCAAAGTGAACTATCCAGATCAATGAGAATTGGTATAAAGTGGGCAGGAGTTTTAAACTAAGAAAATACACCAATGTCAATTTAGCTCAATTATTCTGGTAAAATGCAGAAAAATATTCACCCATGAAATAAATTTAATAACATTTTATATGTTACAATTTTTAAAAAATGTATATACCAAATATGTTTAATTTTCAACATTCATGTACATGTATATTCAAATTAACCCCACACTCACTACACCTTATTATCAAAAATTAAAAGCATGGACCATGTTAAAAAAAAAAATGGTATTTTACCCATGTGTTCGCGGAACTTCCAGAAAATTAAATCTGAAATCCTTTGTATTTGAGCTGCAGATTAATGGATTGTCTCAAATTTGGTTGACCCTAAAGTATATTAATGATCAACGAGAAACGACAACTTTAGGATGCCTTTGGCCAGGAGGAGATTGGCTACTGAGTTGACGAAGGGCTAATAGGAAGTGCAGGTGGACTGCACTACTGCACAACAATTATACGGACAAGACAAACTGCATAGATATTACAAGAAATAAATAACAAATCATATATTTTTTTTGCCTTGACACGGGTTAACAGGTGTGAGGGATGCTCATAAATGCCGAAGCTTTTGAAAAAAATAAAGAACTATAATATTTCCAGGAATAAAGGTTTATATATCAGATAGAACAATTTTGCTATAAGATTTTCGCGGTCCTACAAAAAAGGGTACAATCTAAGATGATGCTGGATATTTCTGATCATATCTCTCCTTGAATAAAGTTAAAGAGTAATATTTTTTTTTTCCAAAAAAACAAAGTTGTACTCTGAGATTATCCCCGTCCTACAAATTAACCCTGCCTATCTTTACGAGAGCGTTCAGAGTACAGCCCGCTACAATAAACGTGTACTAACCAAAAACTATTTCAAGCAAAAGGGTCAGATTTATTTTTCAAGGATCAGAGAAGATGACATCTCTATCAGTTGAAGATCTGGTGTATCCAGGAGCCGTTTCTTTGTTGGCATCATTTCAATTAAGTATGAAACTAGTTTATTTACTTTAATTTGTGGACCTGTATTGATCCATGGTTGTATAACAATTTTATGTCCACTCAAGTGCGATACTTGTGGCGATGTTTAAGATTATGTTAACGGTCGTTAAGATTATGTTAACTTGGCTACTGGACTGTTTTTGATAGATTGTTAAGTACAATGAATTTAATGAATGAATTAATGAATGGATTTGAAAACAGATTTAATCAATTTCATATTCGGGTGAGTTTTAACTGAAAATAAAGTTTTTGTTTTAAAGTTAATAAGATACAATAAATGAAATAATAAAGGCATCACTATAATTCGTCTGTTTTTTCACAGCAAGATTTGCTAGAAGTGTTGGAGCTATGAGAATGAAGCTAAAGGTACCCTATCCAGGAACTACTGGAGATCCTGCATTTAATAGAGCATTTAGAGCACAGTAAGTCTCTATGTATCACAAGTATTTAAATAAGTAGTCGAGTAGTGGACAGTGGAGTTGGTGGGGACACAAGATTTATAAGTTTATTGGAGGGGAGGGGGATGCACTCAATTAACCTCAAAACAGCATTATTTTGATGGATAAAAGTAAGTTATGTGTTGTGTTGGGTAAAGAGGAATTTACGGCCTTGTTTCTCCTTGTTAGTGGTGCAGGATATAGGACCTGACAAGGACAGTGTCGAGGATGGTATGAAAATCCCCTGTAAACATTGGTGTGCACATATAAGAACCTTTGACAATTCGAAACAAGAGTAGGCCGTAGCACCGTTGTCCAGGTAAAATATTCCCTCATGGCACACTGCATGATGTATTGTCTTCATTAGCCCAGTCAGTGCACAAAAGTAGGACGTTAAACCCCAAGTTTCAGTGTGGCAGTGCCAGAGGTTAATTATAACATAACAATAACCAAGAGGAAGAGTTTATCTCATTAATTGTGATTAAATCATTGCAAATTTTAATTTGAAAATATTGATTAGATTTTATCTTTATTTTTTTTTAAGTTTAGGATTTGAAATAAGAAATTTTACTTTCTTATATTTCAGACAGAACACATTAGAGTTTACACCAATATTTTTTCCATGTTTATGGATGTCTGGAATATTTTTCCATCCAGGTAAGAAATCAATCTGATTTAAATATAGATCTATATTTCGTTCCGTTTTTTGTATACTTTCGATGGCCTACATTACATGAAGATCTGACCAGTTGTAGTGGAAGGTCGCGTGAGGTGTCATGCGAGCAGTTTTTGACCTTATGATGTCAGACATTGATTAATCAATCAGCGTTGATGTTTCTAGTGGTTTACCCAAAGTTCCGTGCACTTCGCGCAAAAAAATCACTGTAACAGACCGTTTCATTAGCTAATCCCGCACATTATCCAGAAAGTGGGTTATATAACAATTCTTCCAGATCCTAGTAAAACGAAATTTTGAACTATAAAAAACGAAACGAAATAGGATCTGTGTTTTAATCAGATTGGTAAGAAATAAACTCTATTGGTGTGTATCAGAGAAATAGAATGAATGAAGTAGAAACTTTTTCATATTATCGATTTCTCCTTCAAAGGCCATTTTATGCCCTGGTTGTGGTCTCTAAATGCCTATATTATTAAACCCCTTCAAGAAAATGGTTACAGGGGCGGATCCAGGAATGTTTGCAGGAGGAGTTTGCCAGGTTCCTGAGACAATGTATCTCCCCTCCCCCCCTCCCGCATGGTCTCTATCGTCATTTTGGCGTATATACATACACATTGAGCTTTTTAAACAGAGAAATTCAACACCTCGTTTGACGTCAATTTTTATTATGAATTAATACAATGACATTGTGATTCAATTTCATGGATGCAAAGCATTAATTGTGATATCACATAATGTCTATATCATTATCTCGTGTTTTGAGTGCCCATCCTGTCCCACATCTGACGATAAAGGATAAAGCACACGGCTGAGAAACTTTTCACATAAACAAAAAAAATTATGTAGCTAAGCAGGGGGGGAGTTTCGACCCCCCCCCCCTCTGGATCCGCCCCTGGGTTATCAACATAAAATAACACATTAAACATTTTCTGATTGGCAATAAAATACAGATTTGTCTAATGTCTAATGAAAATATTAATTGACATCCTCAATTCTTCAATATTGCAATTTGTGCTGAATTGCCAACAAACCTGAAGTATTTATTTTCAAAAGAGACTATGATAGTTTTGCTTTAACTGGATCATATATCACAAAATAACAAAAGGGGGCTTACAGTATTCAAAAATCCGCTCCCCCATTAAGTCCCCCAAAATATGCAATGATTGAAGGGTTTATTTTCAAATGATTTTATTTTCAGTTCCTGCATCATTGGTGGGTTTAGTATACCTTTATTCTAGACAAATGTACTTTAGTGGTTATATGGAGAGTGTTGAGGGCAGGTAATTATTTTATATCACAATTTGTTAATGCTATCATTCAAGTCATTCAAATTGAGATTTAATATTTGATATTTAACAAGCTGGGGAGTTATTTGGTTGCATTAGAAACTGTGTTTTGTATTACAACGTTAGTTAAATAATGGAAAGGAGAGGAATGGAGTTTAATACTAAAGTGCTGTGGTCATTTTGAGACTAACATAATGGAATTTTTATACATCTTATAAATACTTGAGTCATACAACAATTCTTTACATAATTACTCTCCCTTTATACAGATCCTTGTGCAACCAATTTTATGCAGTCTAAATTTATTCTATAGGTGAATTACAGTTTTACTGATATGATAATTTTGACAAGGTAATGTTTTCTATCCTGTTGATATGTACTATCAAAATATATCATATTTATATTTCAGACTGCCTGGTTTTAAACTTGGAGTGAAATGTTTGATGGCCTTTTTATTTATGGGATTTTCTGGAATATCCACAGTTATACTAAGAAAATACACTGATGTTGATTTAGCTCAAATATTCTGGCAGAATGCTGAAAAATATTTACCTTTGAAATAAATTTTGTATGTTACTTTTTAAAAAATATATAAATTTGAACGAAATCTTTAATTTTGTGTTGTGTTTGTTAGAGATGTCAGAATGTTTTTAAAAGTTGATTCTGTAGCAGACTATTGTTGGAATATAAAAATAGGTTGATCATATATATCCTATAAGAAATTGTCATTTGAAATATTTATTGAAGGACCAAATTTATAATTATTTTTATTATATTGTATTGTATGATGACACAGCAAATTTAATATTAACTATGCATTTTTGGGTATCTATGTATCTCAGGTTTATTTTTGATATATCGTGGTGAATACTGTTAGATATGTAGATGGCTGGGTTCATTACAGGCTTATATATAACATTCTTTATGATTATTGTTGAATTGACTAATAAAACACGTTATCCTATCCAAATTGTTTGATTTGTTACAATTTAGGGCTGTAACCGTTATTTTGAAACGCCCCCTTATTGATACTACCTCATTATTAAAGTAGGTTGACGGCCATAGTTCAGAAACGAAGGGCCGAATAATTTAATTTTTGTGCGCTGTCACGGGCCAATCGCAATGAGTGACAATTTATCCAAGATGGATATGCTGAGGCTTGGAGATCTAGTATTTCCAGGAATGATTTCCATTTTGGCCTCGTATCAACTCGGTAAGGAAACTAAAACATTGCGTTGCACGTACTATATACGCAGCTGACATTTTTTGATGCTTTGTTTACCAATTGTTTTTGAGTATATGCTGATCTGCAGAATTGTTCGTTCCAATTGGTGCCCATGTTTTGTTTTATTGCAATATTGCATTATTGCATTGCTATACAAAATAAGCATATTTAGTACCTTTAGAAGATATACTGACTGACAAACAAAGCAAGGAACAAGATAAATATGTAATTATTGCTGATGCACTGCAACCAAATTACATATGTTGTGAGTGACAACAATTTGATTCAATATTCGTAACGTTGCAAGAACAGAGTCAAAGACTTCACGAAACAGCTCTACTTTAGCCCGAGATTAAATCACCGTTATAAAACATTACCTGATTAATATATAGTTAGTTATTTCCGGATAAGATCCCGAAGTATTGATCCGGTGAGCTTGTTTGTATGCGATGGGGGTCGCTTCTGAATTCATCCCGAACCCCAATAACGGTACGTTACCCCCCCCCCCCCCCTCCCCCACCGCACGCCCTTTAATTACACATGATATGTAATCCTGAAACCAGTGATATCATTCATGAAATATTCAGCAGAATCTTGCCTTTGCTGGCAAACTGTGACCTTTCAAGGCTATCATGCAAAACAAATTCCTGCAACATAATTCAAATTAAAGTAGCTAAGTCCGTAACTCAATATCATCCAAAATCTTCGACATTGAAAACACGATTTTTTTTGCAATTTAAATCAGCATTGGTGTTGTGATCTTACCTGGAAAGGATGGGCTTCTGATATCCAATATTTAAGACAAAATAAACATTTTACCATTGGTACACGAATCGTGTACCACATTGCGTTTCAGCGCCATTTGTAACAAGGTGCTCAAAGAATGAGGCTAGACATATTCCACAAGTCATGTCAAACGGTGATATATTCTTATTTGGAGAGCATGCGCAATAAATAAAATCGGTGTTGACTGCATGGAATAACCAGACGCTAGAATCTGACTTGAGGTTGAGACTTCTGGCGTATTTCGCCGAATATAACTGATGACAATTCACAGTAAAACGGACACGATTGAATGTAAAACAGTTTTTATAAATTCATATTACATTATTATATGTGTTGCGACTCATTTGTGCCAATTTCTAGGTCCCAAATATTAGCGATTTAGCTCCTTTTTAAGATGAGGTGTAGAAATGAAATAAGCTCAAACCTTTGTTTATGTGACCATTAGTGCTTCCTTGCACCCACACACTCATTTCCAGGATTTCCTATGAATTACTTGACCTGTGCACTATAACTGAGATTGTTACATATTAATGGCCACCCATGTTGTCAAATATCTCTCCAAGTATTTATATAATTTCAGTTATTTTTGCAATGAGAGTTTTCCGAATCCGAGAAAAGGTGAAGATCCCTTTCCCCCAAACCACTGGAAACCCAGCATTTGAAAGAGCATTCAGAGCACAGTAAGTATATAGTTTACAGTTAGTCTGAGATTGACATCAAAAGACCAAATACAAGTTGCACCAGATGTTCCAGCTGTAAGCAAACTTTTAAATAGGACTAACACTTCAACACATATGATATTATAAGGTCTTTACGGCTAAGTGGGTCTCTAAATATGCAATCATATGATATAATAGTATGTATCTTGATGCAGAGCTGTTAGATGTATATTGACTGAGTTATTGTTGGATAATACCATGTAATACACAGTAGATTGTATTGGTCTCTGTGATTACCACTTATACATGTACACTGTGAATTATGGAGTATGAGTTATTATGTATATCAAGTTGTTGATACTTGTAATTACTAATAGGCATTGGTCTTTATTAATATTATTGGGGAACCTATAAGTGAGACTGGTGTATATTAAATCCCATATTCCTGAAGCAATGGCCACAGTATTAAAACTTTGTATATTCTTTGATGTGGATTAGGTATATTATATTATATTATGTGTACTGTTATATTGAACTAAATACTTACTAAACTGGGAAGGTGGCCTATGAGATGTAACATAGGTATCATTTTTTTACTTATTTATTTATTAATATCATTTCTTATCTGTGTTAGTTAATTTAAGTAATAAAACAATTGATTTCTTTTCAGGCAAAACACGTTAGAATTTATGCCAGTTTTTATGCCAAGTCTGTGGGTATCTTCTATATTTTTCCACCCAAGTAAGTTGAGATCTGTTTATGATAGACCATGCCAAAACATGAACTAAATAATTAATGCCTCCCCCCACCCCTTCGTTCCCCCACCAATAAAGGCATACAGGCTCGATGACTGTTGAGGCAGCAGAACCCGAAATGCCCGAAAAAATTGCGGGTTACAGTTTTCTTTGAGGGACAAAGGAGCGGAGCTTACCCCTCACATAATTTTGAAAATTTGACAGCCGCAAACACTTTTCCTGCTATTCCAGCCAAGCATCTTCAATGTGGTCCAATATAGTCTGCATTAGGTGTCTGACCTGAATCCCAAACAACCAATCAATTGTCGCGGGTTATAGGGGTCTCTCCCTCCGGAAAAAACTTTGAAAAATTAACCTCCGCAAATGTGTTTTACTGCTATTCTAGCCCTGGAGTTAAAGGAGCTAAATCGCTAACATTTGGGACCTAGAAATTGACAAAAGTGGGTCGCAACGCATATAATACTGTAATATGAATGTATATAAACTGATTTACATTCAATGGTTTCCGTTTTTACTCCAATTTCAAATCAGTTATGTTCGGCGAAATAAGCCAGCAGTCTCAAGCGAGTGCAAATTTCTAGCGTCTGGTTATTCCAGTCTACATCCGCCGTTTGATTTGGTGCAATGTGTCTAGCCTCGTCCCGCGAGTCTCTTGATACAACTGGGGCTGAAGCGCATTATGGTACACGATTCGTGTACCAATGGTAAAATGTTTATTTTGTCTTAAATATTGGATATCAAAAGCCCATCTTTTTCCGGTAAGATCACAACATGAATGTTGATTTAATTTGACAAATAAATCGTGTTTTCAATGTTGAAGATTTTGGATGATATTGAGTTAGAGACTTAGCTACTTTAAGCAGTTTCAAAGTTTCCAATGGTTTTGTAACTGAAATCCCACTCTATGGCGACCTGAATTCCAACCATTCAATCAGACTGTTGCAGCTGCATTCACAAATAATAATCGATGCACAAAAAATGTCACACAACGTAGAGTGGCTCCAGACAAAATTTTTAATCCATAGTGGCTAAGTGGGTAAGACGCTGGCTTTGCTAGCCTGGAGGTCGGGTGTTCGATCCCTGCATTGGTCGAGAAAGTTCATCCAGTGATGCAGGACGGAGGGCCTGACAAGGACAGCTGTCTAGGTGTTAGGATGATACGAAAAACCGAGGATCCGTGTACACATTGGCAAGCACGTAAAACATCCCTTGACAGTTGGAATTCGTTTTAAGTGTAGGCTGTACTGCCACTGTCCGGGCAAAATTTCCCTCATATCACACTGTATGCCCGTCTCCATTAGCCCAGTTCGGAGCAGAACAATAGGACTTTAAACCCCATTTCATTTCATTTCCATAGTCAATTCAGTAGAAATTTGTGGTATTCAATTAAAGGAAAAGAAAAATTAGTGCTTTATAAGATGGAATAATATTTTTTTTTTTTTCATTTTACCCATCTGCCTGAAAAGTCAGATTGCCCGAAAGTTAGGCTGCCCCCATGGCTCATACGCCTATGCTCACCCACCACCTCCACATTTAAAAGCGGCCAATATTACATTATAAAACTGATCCATTTTTATCTCTCACACTTAAAAATATATGAGATTTGAGTTTGTATCAATATGTTATTTTATCACTCTATTTTTCAGTTCCATCCTCACTAGTGGGTTTACTATACCTTCATTCTAGACTAAGATATTTTAATGGCTATTGTAGAAGTGTGGAAGAAAGGTATGTCATGAGTTTTAATTATGCAAAACTTTGCCTTTAATATTAAAATAGTGTCTGTTTTTGGCTTATTTTCGTAAAGTAATTGTCTTTTTTTCCTTTTTGATATCATTTTAATCACACTTTTAATCAATACTGCAAAAAGAGCTGTCTGTCTGTTTTTTCCCAAAATTCTATAAATACTCTTAGACAATTTATAAGACATCATATTTTGGTAAACAAGACAATTTTCTGCAAGAAAAGTTTGTATTTGTACATTTACTAATAAACTTTCTTCAGGTACCTGTGAGATTATACTTAAATTAGAAAATCAATCAAATGTCTGGATAATCAAAGGCTTTCTAAAGATTTCACAGAACGTTTGATATTTTGATTAGAAGTCGACCAGTCACAATGTTTACATAACGTCTTTATATCAAATGAAGTGGAGAAAACAACCATAAAATAAAATGTAATGAAATGTTGGTATGGCATTTTAGTGAAGTTCAAATATTTTTAGCATAAAATGAAAACTTTAATCTTTTATCTATTTTTTTTTTAATCTTTCAGAATACCAGGATTTCATCTAGGAATAAAATGTATCATTGCTCTTTATGGTATGAGTGCTATCGGCATGACAACCACATTATTAAGAACATATGTAAACATAGATCTAGCCCAGTTAGCCCTTTCCTTTGCTGAAAAATATCTTCATTTAAAATAAATCCATAAGTATTGAGATATTTAGTATTAATTTTTTCTAACAGATATTAAAGGAGCTAAACGTCTATTCTTGGGAACCTTAAAAAGGATGAAAATGGTTTGAAAAGCACATATTAATGTAATATGAATATATACATTGATTTGCATTCAATTTTTAGAATATTTTTGTGTAATATCTAATCAGTTATGTTTGCTGAAATATGTAAGTAGTCCATATTGAATTGCAGTCAATTGCTCCTGCTTAACTGCATCAAGAGTAGGGTTGACCTCTCACTTCTGGCATATGTTGATCCTGGTTCATCAAGGTGCCTCATTCTGTCTTAAATATTGGATACTAGAAGAATGCCCGGCTTCGCTCGGGGGTCATAACCCCAAAACCGGAAGTGGTAGACTAACGCCACCTGTTACTCCCCGGTTCGAGCTACCCCTATACCCCAAATTTCAGACTCGGGGCAGACCTAGTGTAGCCGCCAACCCCGAACAGACAGACAAACAAACAGACAGACAAACGACAGTCACAAATATTAGTATAGATCAGGAGCAGTAAGATAACATTGATATTGATTGAAATGGACCAATATTAAATTCTAATTCAAGTTTTAACGTTGTAAGATTATGGATTATATAAAGAGGTTTAGCTCCTTTAATCTGGTAAATGATGAATGTGTATAGTTGTATGGAATCTACAGCCAAAATAAATAAGCTTATAATGAAATACGACATAGTACTTCATTGGTCACCAGAAACGTGGTTACTTTGCTGCCCATGAGAAAATATATGTTATATTGGACAGAGTACAGTATAAAATGAGTTTTGGTATACCATATACATTCAATATTTATTTAACCTCAAATTTTAGCATAGTTGTTTGATTTTATTATGGTGCTTGGTACAGTTAATAAATGTATTACTTTTGTTGTGAATAATGAAATGTATGTATGATAATATTTGTATATATTCACGGTGAATATGTATAAATTTTGTGTATTTGATGAATTTGTTGTATATGAAGTGTATAAGAATGTCTCTCACTGACACTTTATTTAGTTGTTTTTATGTAGATTTGTGGTTTTAAAGGAAAAAATATCATTTGTTATACCAAAAAATTTATTTATAGTATTTGGACTACTCTGTCTCTGTAATAAAGTTTTGGATTTTAATGTTAATATATGTAATCCTGTTTATTTGGCATGATGGATTATGTTCAAAATATAATTCAAAATAATGTTTGTATCAGCTCATGATTTACTTTTTGTATGAATGTGCATTTATAATAGAATGCTATTGTATTTAGAGTTGTACAAATGGCTGTATATTATGTAACTTGTACATATATAGCTTGCTCAATATCTAGTCTTTCTTTTCAGTGATTGTTATTAAGAATAAATATAGTTATATAAATTAATTCAGTAACTGAAGTCAATTAGGCTATAACCTAGTGTAATACAAGAATTCAGTGCATTAAATGTGATATATCACCAGCAGGTACTGTCTTAGAAGCGGGGTTGGGTCCAAAAATCATTAAAACACTTGGTGACCCAGATCAATCTAATAAATTAATTAAACCCCCTCTCTTCCGACGGACATCGAAAAGGAATGTATGTACTTTTCATTTGAATCTAGCCATGAGCCAATATCCCCTCCTTTAGATCAATGCTAAGATGCAATTATTCTGTTGAATGTGTTCCTTATCCACGACACACTCCAAATCGCATATTTTTATAAAGTTTCTGGGATGCCCCAGTACTTCCCCTACTCCCAGAAGTGTTTATATTAAAGGAGAATTATGGGAGATTAGATAAAGAGTAGACAGTTCTCGCTGTAATAGTTAATAAATAGATAACGTAAATAGATTATGCTGAACCAAGATATTAGCTTTTGAATTTTAGGCTAGCCTCGATCATCGTTACTAAAGTCGGTACAATAAAAAACAATGTCTTGATTATCCATTTTGACATTTAATTTTTTTTTCACAAAATGTATTCCAATCTGCTAAATATTGCAGGCTAGCGATGGCATCTAGAGTTGATTATGGTCTGGATAAGTTAATTAATGTCTAATCAATAATTTAGATAACATTTTTCTCTAATAAATATTTATAGGAACTAGTCATTTATTTTAAAACCACTACAAGATTTTATGGTTGAAGACTTGTTGTAAGTGTGCTAATTGCCGCTAATGATATATTGTTAGCTAATTTTAGAAATAAATTTTTTCATTAACAAGTTTCTGTATTATTTTGATACATGACCAAACAGTAAAGCAGGTTATATGTCTGCAAGGACTTCCAAACACAGTTTCATGTTTCTATTAAGATTCTTCCGAGGAAGAGACGGAAGGGTTGTTAATATCTACTTTACACTAACCATACGGTTATCCTTCTCCTTAATTAGTCATGTACAAACCTGGGATTTATAACAGACAGTAGAATTATTTTATTTGCATCAAATATCCATTACAACAAATCATATATTGGAATTATTTTGTGCCTAGTTTATCTACACAAAACAAATAGAAAGATATTCCACTTATATATCGTATAGGGATGCTAATATTTACGTCAAACAAACTGAAGATTATTATATGACAAAACAGATGACAGCAAGAAAAAACAAAATAAATTTCATATTTAATTTTTGAACTTAATATTTTAAAATATGGTATGTAACAAACCATATAGTAGCTGTTTTCCATAAGTATGTGTTTTGTTGCTACTCTATCCAGTTACTAAATGCCATTTAAAGACCATATATTCTGTTGTGCCCCCATTCCTATGATGACCTAAGCACATGGGCTTATTAATTCAGCCCAGTTTATGGGTTATAGGCCTATTCCAGATGAAAGAATTGGCCCAACAGTTAGTTAGTCATTTAATCAAAACCACTATTATTATTTTTCATTTATACCAGCTACTCATAATCTTTGAAATAAAAATAAAAAAAATAATGTCCCGATTATTAAGGTTTTTAAAATTTAATGCCCCGCTGATAATAGTGATAAAGGTTTCACTGGAGGCAGTTCGTCTATTTATAGCAATTCTCTCTCTCTCTCTTTTCTCCCATTTTGCATGCCCATTTGTGTTGATTTTTTGGTCTAGAATGGACGAAGAGGGTTTGAATTAACATTTTCTGCCAGATTTTGGTAAATATTCATGATTTTGAGGCGGAAGGATAAGAGGGTTATCAGGTTAGCTACGGCGATATGTACGGCAACTAGTTACATGTTTTTAGTATGCTTCTTCAAGTTTGTGTATCTCAAAATTTTGGTGGTCAACCTCATACAAATTTTAGTGCAAAGACATGACCATTTGTTCCTCAGTCTGTAGTGAAAAGCATTCAGCCCAACGAAAATTTGGGGAAAAGTTGGAGGTGGGCAAAGAGGCCAGAATTAACATTGAAGTCAATGGGGAATTTAATGGTGGTCTGCCTCCCACTGTGTTTCGCGGAATTGCTTCCCTTTGACCATAACGTTGAAGTTATTTTGCATCCAATCAAAATATAGAAAACGGAAATAAACAAAAATGGCAGACTTTCATCTTCTTATCTCTGAGTAGATATTTTTTCTTTGTAAAGCGTCCCCAATTCCTAAATAAAAAGGTAATTATTGGGCACCTGACTAGAAAGATAATCTTTCAGTGATTATTTATCGGCGACTGACATTATGAGTTTACTTGTCAGGCTTACAGAAAATCAAAAACCGCGTACGAATACGATATAATCGGAGACAGAATTCGTGTTTCTAAAAATAGAAAATAAAAACACAGTGACATTTCAGTTTCATTGCTATTTATACGGTATATTAATTATAATTAATTTGTTACGGAAGACAAATTAAAGGGAATGTAACAACAAGTTAGCACATACTTACCGATTATGATTTTGCTCCTGTAATTTAAAAGGCCTAGTAGTAGTATGCTTATACTGTTAGTGTTACATCTGTATACTTTAATCAGTAGGAAAACTGAACAACAAATCTATTAGAAAATCTGATATTTATATACTAACTAGTCAGTAGATGAGGAGTAGTATTAGATTAGTAATTGGGTGGTATTTTATTAGAAAATTTAAGAATTGATTTGATTTAGAGAAAGATTTTCAATAAAGTTCTTACCAAAGGGTTCTGGCCTGTCCTTTCAATCTATTGAATGCATATTATATTTATCTGCATGATATGATGAAATATTTATGAGTGATATGCAACTATGTTTTTTGCAGTTCAAATTAAATACTAATGATGTTTCGTCCTAGTTGTCAGAGTGTTCAAGTCTTTTTGCAGCAGAATTATAAAATCAATTCGAAAGTGTTACATGTACTTCAGATTTGGAGGAGGCCATTTACATTTTGTCCAGGTATTATTATGTATTAATATTATCAATATATCAGACCATGAAGACAGCCTAATAAGGGTGAATCTATTGTCTCTATTATTTCTAGACCTTGTTGTTGATTTATCTACAGTCGTACATAATGTACTACTTATTTTGGATCAGTATTACTTGTAAATGTGGATCACAGCGTTACATAGTTTTTAGGATACCAATAAAATATTTTTTTTTTTTTTTTTTTTTTTTTTAATCATTTATTGTTGTGTCAGAAGAATTATACACTACAAAGTATACTATACTATACTATACAGTAACCCCGCCCCCAAACAAACTACACGGATACCAGTGTCTAAAAGCGTACATACTAATTAAGTGAATACTAATTAAGTGAGGAAGGTTGACACAGGGAAAAGCTCAGCTGAAAAGACCCTCAAAATGTTTCCATCTATCATGAACTTTGTCACCAAGTATAATTTGTTCTTTTTCAAAATAGCATGATAATTCTTTTTTAAATACCTTCAAAATTGGTTTATTTTCTCCAAGCCGTTGTTTATATATATGTAACTTAGCTAAACTATATATCAAATTTGGAATTTTGTTATCATCAGTATCAATGCCAAATAAACATTTTATCAAGGTGATATCAAAATCATTGTTTGCCTTTAGTTTAATCCAGCTTCCTAATTCTTTCCAATATACCTGTACATGTTCACAGCTGTAATAAAGATGTATTAATGATTCAGTTTCTTTTTTGCAAAAGGTACATAAATCTGATTTAAAAATTCCAATTTTAGCTAAAAATTTATTTGTACCAATTATTCTACTATTGAGTCGAAATTGAAACCATTTCAGCCTAGTATCGACGGTGAAATCAAATGTGTGCTTGTAAATACGAGCCCATTCTTCTAAAGTTAATTTCATTCCTAGATCTAATTCCCATGAGTTTTCGGATTTAGTTTTTTGAATTTTTTTATCTAAGAAATGTGTGTAGAAATATTTTGCCCCAGTATCAAACATAGAGATGAATTCAATAATTTGAGGGTAAATGGATAATATTAACCTGACATCTACTGTTTTAGCATTTATGTTGTTTAAAGTAGTCCATTTAGCAAGAAGTGATTGTTTTAATCCATACAGGTCTGTAAAGTGTGGAGAGAAATTATAGATAGATTTGAACGTGTCGTATGTCATAAAAACACCTTTATCGAAAAGATCATAAACATACTTTATTCCTTTTTGATGCCAAACATCAAAATATATTGTTTTATTGTTTATTTTTATATTTGAATTGTACCACAATGGCTGACGTAGAATATTATGTATTTCGTTATCTTTCGGTTTTAACTTAATTAGCGCAATACTTATATAATTAAAAACCTCTTGCCAGAAAGACAATTTTGTACGCTTTGATAGTTTATAGAAATAATCATCCCCGAAAGAGCCAACCAACAACTGTTTATCTGGTAAAGAATTAACTAACAATTTTGCCCAGGCAGTGTTTTGATGTTTTAATAATCTTCTAAACCAAGTAATTTTTAACAACTTTGAGTATGCTATTATATCAATCATTTTACATCCACCATTTTCAAAATTTTGAACCATAGTTTTTCTGGACACTCTTTCAGCTTTATTACCCCAAACAAATTTATATAACGATTTCTCTATATTTTTTAAGTAAGATATATCCGGTGAAGGTAGACTTGTTAGTAAATGATTTAATTTTGGTACTAATATTGACTTTAGAAATTAATCAAGGGCGTTTTCCCTGGTGATCTTAGATATTCAATTCTAGTTTCAACTTTTGACATGAACATTGTACTGTATAAGAGCTTATATTAGTCAAACCATAGATTTACCTTTGTTATCATAATTCTAGATGCATTATATATAGGAGAATAAATATGAGGGAAGAAACAGAATCTGTGACTGAGGTTGTTTCTTTCACAGGTTTATCATTCCAAATCAAAGCTTTCTCATACATATAGGGTTTACTTTCAGTTTCATCGTACATTATAAAGTGTAGAATTCCCAACTAACCTGTGTCTCAAAATACATTCATGAACAGATTATTATTGCACACTTAGAATTGACTTTGAGAAACAAAATAAATTGTTGTCATAGATATATTTCTCATTTGAATAATAAAGAGATTGAGATGCTATCATTTTGACAATCTTCATAGCTTGTTTTTTCCTTATGAATATTTGTTTTACAGGTTGTAGAAAATCACAGTTAACTCCTGGAAAATTAGTCAAGAAATTGAAATCATCTGGATTTTTTCCAGTTTTAAATATAACCCGGGTTGTGAGCTCTGGTTCTCAGGATGGCTCAGGAAGTAATGAACCAGTTAGTGGTAAAGTAGAAGCTAGTGCTGCAAGTAAAACTACAGGTAGTAAATCACAGACAGGTGATGGTGTTTCTGCGGACGAGAAGAAAACCAAGTTATTAAAAGGTTAGCTTTTACTTTTAGAATAATACACATTAATAATATAAGTTACTAACCTTGTGAACTTTTTAGATATATACTATTCAAAAAAAGTAGGGGATATTTGATTTTTAAGTGTTATTAAAGTCACCTAATGAAACTGACGAAGAAACAAATGACAAAATGAAATGAAGTTCACATTCATCGATTTATTCCAAATGATCGTTAGACTAAGTAAGGCACAGACTGACCATTATAAGGGTAAAATGATACCCGGGGTCAAACAGCAAAGTTACCACAGCATCACAACCAAGTCAGTAACGGGTAAATCCTCCTCTGTTTGCCAAACAAGCATTGATCCGACGTGGCATACTCCTAATGAGACGTCTAAGGTCATTTTGGTCCAGATTGTCCCATTCCTGTTGCAACGCAGCAGCAAGTTCTTGGACATTGGCAGGACGTTGTTGACGTTGACGTAACCTCTGTCCAAGCATGTCCCAGACATGCTCGATGGGGGAGAGGTCGGGGCTCAGTGCTGGCCAAGGTAATGTGGTGATGTTCTGTTGTTGGAGGTAACCTGTAACGATCCTGGCCCTGTGACATCTTGCGTTGTCATCCTGGAAGATGAAACGGCGGCCATGACGTCGTGCGAACGGCACAACATGGACTGCCAAGATGTTGTCCCGGTAGTACTGGCCTGTAACACGCCCTGCAACAACATGTAAAGCCGTTCTTTCAGCAACAGTGATGCCTCCCCACACCATAACAGAACCACCCCCATATCGATCATGTCTGATGACGTTAACGTCTTGGAAGCGCTCGTTTCGACGACGCCACACCCTCCTACGTCTGTCCATGAAATCAACAGTGAACCTTGACTCATCTGAAAACATCACATTGCTCCAGCGTCGATTATCCCAGTGTTGACGATCCCTACACCAACGACGTCTTGCCTGAATGTGATGATCTCTCAAACAAGGGATCACGCGAGGACGTCGGGCGCGAAGGTGACCCCTATGCAGTCGATTCCGAATCGTCTGGCCACTCACTCTCACACCAGTGTCTGTTTGAAGACGAGCGCTGATCTGATTTGCTGTGATGACACGATTTCTCAAGGCCAAGGTACGGATAAATCGATCCTGGGCTTGAGTTGTCGCCCTTGGTCGACCTGAGCGTGGTCTGTCCTGTACAGATTGTGAACCACGGTATCTGGACCATAGCCTGCTTATGACAGACTGAGAAAAATTCATCGTCCGCGCCACAACCGCCTGTGTTGTGCCGATCTGTAGCATGCCAAGGGCACGTAACCTTTCATTTTGGGTAAGCCGACGCATATCAAAATTTGTTTTCTGGTCACTAAAACAATCAAACTGATGTTTCCACCCTAGAATTCAATGCCACAATGACTGTAACATTCAAAGTCAGAGTCGTGCAAATCTTGGGTTGGACCCCCATGATGATCCCAAGCATCACCTGCATTCCATGCGGTAGCTATTGGTGCGTTTGGGCGTCACATGTAACTGGAAATGTTTCTTCTGTTAGGTTCTATAGTGACTTTTTTCGTAGTCATTTGCATAATTTAGTATTATGCCCCCAAAATCAAATATCCCCTACTTTTTTTGAATAGTATATAAAAGTGGTATCAGGTGTTCTGGAATAAAGAAACATATCAAACCATCTGCCATTATTTGGAGCCTCCTAGGTGCAAATTGTATAGTCTTTCTAACTAGATTTCCGCTGGAGATTTTTAAACTTGGGATTAACAAATGTGTGTTTATATTTTTATTTTATTTTTAGTTTCTAGAAAATCTAGAAAAACTGCACTTGACTACAGTTATACCGATAATATATATATTTTACCATACAGAGCTTTGAGTGACTACATGTTAAAACCCAGGTAAGTCAAAATATATTATGATATTTTACTTAAAATAAAAATTACAGGATGTTCCCCTTTGTTGCGTAGTCTGGTGAAATGGACAGCTTGGTTCCGAAACTCTATAACACCCTGTCAAATTTTGGTTTGAAAAGGTAGTTTACTATGAAAATAGTGAAGACAAACTGACTAAATCATATATCAGTGTTTGTTTGTGTTTTACAGTCTAGTTGTTGAGAAAAGAAAAATACTTTTGAAAAAAGGGGAATGCGTGTATCTATGGAAAAAGTTTTTCTTTTTATGTTTTAAAGTGATTTAGAAGCCTTACCAAAATACAGTAGAAGAAGTCCTTACGATACTGGTCGTAAAATCACCCTTTATCTACGATCAGATGTTGAAGAGTTGTAAGTTTCATTTGAATATTTACATATTTCTCAAACACAAATTCCTTACTCTTTTTCTACCATGTTAAATAAAAACATCATCAGAGATTCATTTTCCTTAAAGGAATTTCAAACAGAAATCATCACTGATACAAAATGAAATGATGCAAATACCATAACTTATTACTTATTACATTTTTTAGAGGGAAAAAAGTTTGGGGAAGTCTAGAAAGTTTGAATGCAGAGAAAGCAAAACGAAGAAATGAAGAATTTACTCCAGGAAGATGTGAGTACATGATAGATGATGATGATGTTAAGTAAGGGTTTGACAAAATACTCTCTCCCAACAGAGATCTTCTCTCTTGTATTGCAGACCTAACCAGACCACATTTTACACAGAAAATAAGTTTGTTATTCCCTGGGTGCTCCACCATTTATCAAAGTGTGTATTCCACATTTGTAGTATAGTACCCTAACCTTGTGACTTTTATTCAGTTAAATATCTGAATTTGGATTGGTGAACAGGCTATGCCTATGTGTAACCCCTTTCTCCAGGCTCTCCTTCTCTTCTTTTCAAAATTGTACTAGGTAAATTATAAAAGATTATTTTCTTTTTTTACAGATGATATATTTCATGTACGATCTATAATAGAAGAACATAAACGCAATATGGCAGGTGATGGAGTTAATAGTGATGAAAAACCATATTTATTTATAACAGAACATGATGATAAAAAATCCAATACAGATACTAATAAAGATACAGGCAAAACAGTAAGACTGTGTCTGTTATAAGATTTAAAGAAAAATTTAATAGTTTTGAATACATATTATATTAATTTTGAATAAAGTCATTCAAAACAACCTTAGAGTCAAATAATTAGCATTAGATATTAAAGTATGTTAAAGATTGTTTTCTCAAGGTTAAATAGGTCACCTAGTGCAACTGAAAACTTATTTTAGCTACAAATATGATATTTCTTAAAGGCTTCGCGTATCGTTTAGCGCTATGGATATCCCTATCAAACAACAATATTTGAAAGATGCACCTCTATTAGAAATATCAGTCCATTTATATCATATTTTACAATCTGTATGTATTATGGCTCTCATCAGTCGAAGGACTTCTAGTCAAACATGCAGATAAACTTTCTGTCATATTTATTATTTTAGGAAACATTTTTACAGACTGGTTCAGGGAAAGTAGTCATCTCTGCTATAGCAATGTAAGTTTTATTTCTATATGTCTAAAAGTAATACCTTGTTTAGTTGTAATTATTTTAGTATTTTATATTGAAAATAGAGTTTGTTAATGGATCAGAATATAGGCATAATGGGGATTATACTCAATTAGTCTTGATTTGTTTGCTTACCAAATTCCTTGAAACCATTTCATTATGTAAAAACCAGCATGATTATTTATAGTTATAGTGGGCTTTCTTGATATTTATATTTGTGGCTATACCATAATGTTTCTTGTGTCTTGTTGTTTTAATAGGTGATTGGGATAAGTTAGTGTTTTTGATATTTAGTAGGACATTAAACCTCATTTCATTTCATTTGAGATACTTTAAGATGTTTCAATGAATTATGAATGGATATGAATGAAATTGGTGTAAAGGGCATATTGCTACAATGCTATAACAATCTGTATTGCATAGCTTAATTTTAAAACTATAATGGATTTATCAGCCTGTTTAGTATTAATTATATGTATAATTTGATACAATGTGTGCAATATGTTAATTTTCTTTTTCAGTAATGGTTTTAACTGTCTTATTAAATTTATAGCATGGGTATACACAGGCTCTCACAGTATGTTTTCAGAATTTATTCATTCAGGGGCAGACACAGTTAATCAGGTGGGTTGATTGATTGTGTAACATGTTAATCCAATGGGTTTCTTTGTAAACTGCTTAACTCTCAAGACAATCTTATTAAAACACAGATCCTGTTTCCTTTCGTTTCGTTTTTTATAGTTGAAAATTTCATTTTATTTGTCTTTACTACACTAGGATCTGGAAGAGTTGTTATATAACCCTTGTTCTGGTTGATGTGAGGGATTAGTCAGTGAAATGGTCTGTTACAGCGAGTTATTGGCATGCGATGCAAGGAACTGTCAGTATCCTACTAGAAACATTAACACTGATTGGTTAATCAAATATCTGACATCATAGGGTCAAAAGCAGCTTGTATGTCCCCTGATGCAACTTCCCACTACAACTAGTCAGATCTTCATGTAGTAGAGGCCATCGAAAATATAAAAAAACCGAAATGAAATATAGATCTGTATTTTACTTAGATTGCTCTCAAGAATATATACAGTGACATTTTGTGTGTATATAAATAAAATAGTTTTGTCAAATAAACTTAAACAATGGTGATGTCATATATTAATTTGTTAACAATGATTTGAGATTCAGCATGGACATCTGTGCTGCTAGGAGATCTATATGAAGACTGACAAGCCCCTATCTTTGTTTATTTTCCTGTTCATTAAAGTAGTATTACAGAATTCACCTTTAATTTTGTTATATTTCAGATAATATTAGCTTTAGGTTTATATCATTCTATAAAGAAACCAGATTCAGATCATCCGTAAGTACAAGTTAATTAACAAGATATAATTTACGTTACATTGATACAGTGATTTATGAAGGATTTCCGAGGGGGCAGAATTACTTGTTTTGTTTATTTCATTCGATTATTTTGCGTGTCAAGTTAAAATAGTAAATTGAACATGACTTTTCATAATGATCTAATTTGGCAGGTTCCATGGTCGCAAGCTGAATGCATTGTATATACAGTACTCGGGTTAATGTTATAGTGTTAATGTTAACAAATAAAGAGTTGATTATATTGTATAGTATTATATTACAGATATGGTTATACAAGTTTAAGACATATATCATCATTAATTAGTGGTGTTGGTATATTTTGTTTTGGTACAGGATTATCTATATATCATGGTTATCAAGGTTTAATGCATCCAGTACCATTTGATTCATTAGTATGGGTAAATAGTTCTTCTTTATTTTTATATGTTCACAAATTCTTTTATTTATTGTGCATAATTTTATGTACATAAGTTTAATACAATTGAATAGTAAAATGTTTGATTTATGTGTAAGTTTTATGTGTGCTTGCTTTGGTTGTTTTGCTACCCATAAGAAAAGCACTTAAAAAATTGAGCTGCTGACGTTAGTCGAGTTGCCTGAAAGCCATATTTAGTAATTAGTGAAAATGTACTTAAAAATCTTTAGCAATCTATATTCATGGCACTTCGGTGCACGTAATTTACGTAGGCCTTCATTGACTTTCTGTAAATTTGTAAATTGATTTTGAACAAAGACATTTGTTGTTTTTTTCTTTTCAGGGTATTGCAACACTTCTTGGTTCTTTATTATCAGAAGGAGGTAAGCATCTCTTTAACTATTAATAGCAATCATTAGTGTATCATCTTATTCACATAGTGAGCTCTTATAAAATGAGGGAAATGTTGAGTCACGTCCATATTTTTGCAGAGCAGATCCATTATTATTATTCTGGATATTCCAGATTACTAATATCAGTATTATTCTGACTTGACAGCTGAAGACTTGGTTGATCGTGACTAGATGTAGTTTGGAAAGGAAATTTTCTAACCACAGGGATATACAATCCTGTTCTTTGTCTTTATTTCAGCCACACTGGTAGTAGCTGTGAACCAAGTACGTAAAAGCTCTAAAGCTCTAGATATGAGATTTTGGGAATATGGTAAATGACTTAAATTACAAATATATATATATAAGAAATAGCAATGTTTGATGAAATTAAAGCAACTTGAACGTTTAAATTAATGTTAACACAAATGTAATTTAAATCTGACCAATTTGATGTAGTTATTAAACCAGTTAGCTAAACAAGTTGTAGTTCATGTAGTACAAATGCTACAATTTGTCTTGGTGGCAAGTTTGGCTTGGTACTTTATTTTTTTCAAATAATATTCTAGCCCCACATAATCTACTATAAAGTACTCAGCAGAATTAAAAAGTAAAAAAAGAAAAGTCTGTAAATAAACAGGAAAATATAATCAAATCTTGCATTTGAAGGACACTCTGTGGCTTAAAGTTAGATTAAGGAAATAAAGTAATGATATAAAACAATTCTTCTCGGGTATAAATTAGGCTCTGATTCATTTTCACCAAGTCACATGCACAAGGAAGAAGTGGAAAGTACAACTGTTTTAAACTTATATGTGGTATGAATTATGTTTTCAGTATTACGAGGAAATGATCCTAATGTATCTGTAGTATTATTAGAAGATGTTGCCGCTGTAAGTGGTGTTATAGTAGCAGCTTCTTGTATGGCTATAACTCACTATACACATAATCCAATAGCTGATTCTATAGGTTCTTTACTTATTGGTGGTATATTAGCTATAGTAGCTGGTTTTATTATTAAAACTAATACAGAAGTATTAGTAGGAAGGTAGGTATTTTAATTTCCACCTATGTTAATTTGTTGTTAGATTTCCTAGCATTACTGGACATTGAATGACAAAAATTGGCTGGGTTTACACTTTTTATCAGAAAGTTTGAAATCTGTTTGAGTTTTTCTAATTTGATATGAGGTATATCGTTTACTTTTAAGACTGCCAACATAGCATTTAGACTATCAATTTAATTTTTGTCAGAGATTGAACTTAAAGATAACCATATACTGCTAAAACATTAACTTACCAGTACCCATTCACTTTGACTTGGTGTGATAATTTGTAGGTCAAAAGTCAGATATAACTTCCAATAATTTGTATTTTATATAAATTTAGAATATGATTTAGTTATGAAATGTTATTACCACAGCGTAATATAAGTATATTGTATATTAGAGTAATATTAAATACATTGTATATTAATATATATTATTATAGATCTATACCAATGTATGTAAGGCAGGATATCAGTCGAGATTTAGAAACAGATAGAATGATAAGGTAAGTTTATTGGTTTTTCTACACTTACTAATAGTAACAGAGGGCATTGTCTGTTGTGAGTCTTGAAAGTTTCAAATTGACAGATATGCAACTGAATAACACAGAATTTGAAACCTGTCAAAGTTCTGCAAGTCAGGGGCCTTTTTCATGAAATTTTAACTAAGATAAAATCCAAATTTTAGTAATTTGATTGAATAATATTAGATTGATTTTAGTGCTTAGCCTATCAATATTGAAGTATCTACTAAATTTTGGATTTCATCTTTAGTTAAGATTTCGAGAAACAGGCCCCTGGTTGATTTGGTGTGAGAAGTATTGTCATATTGAAAAACTGGAAACTTATTTCAACTACACTGATTGTTCAAAATAAGATTGTATTCTATTAGTGTATATACCTTGTCACTTAAAATTCAAGTGCTGAATGTGCCTAATTGTATTGATGGATATGAAAGCAGAGATTGACATACTCTTAATGATGCATTACTTAAGACCTTAATCTGCCTATTGTAGGTCTCTTCTTTTTGGCTTCAAATGTTTTAAATAATTATTAATTAGGTATTTATTCACATCCCAGGCCCCGAATCTAGACAATCAGATGGCTGTGATGTTAAATGGATTAGAAAACATTCACCATTAAATAATTTAACGTTAAAGTTGATAATCAAGACTTTGTTTAAGACTATATTGTCAAAACTTCAGTCTCTCATAACTTTGTCAGAATAAAGTAATTTGACTGGAATTTTCAATATATTCTATTTTAAAACTATTATTGCAAGAACTATTAGCTCTTTATCTAAATCTTATATAATGCATCTTTAACATAACTTTAAGATATGAAAAAAAATGTATTTTATTGTAGATCTTTACATGATATTAAAGCTACAGAAGTAGGAGGTGAAGTTAGATTTAAAGCTGAAGTAGATTTTGATGGTAGAGAAATAACTCGAGCTTATTTATATAAACTAGATCTAGAACAATTACTATCTGTAAGTAGGATCGATTCTAGCAGAGTTGTCCTCCCTTTTAATCCAAACTATCCTCTACAAATGACTCACCCTACTATACAGCAAGATTCTTGTTATGATAAAACAAATCGATGAAATTCAAATGAAATATTGTAATTTTCATTTCTGGAAATATATTCTTGTAATTAAAATACTAAGGTGTCATAATGATAAATTTGTATTGGTGAAGTGTGCAGATTGTCATTTTTAACAATACACATTTTATTCTCACCTGTTTTATTATTATTATGACAATCCCTTATAATTTGATACCCTTAAGCAAAATTTAAACATTTGAGTGGAATGTAGAAATATTTCAGATATCCATTGAATAAAGTTTGTGTTTACATTTCCATGGTTGCATATAAAAACCACATGAATTATGCCCCCCACCCACAAATTAAGTGTTCAAGTCGAAACCAGAGGCAGATGTTGGATAGGGAGAATATTCCTGTTTACTAATATCTGTTTAGTATTTTACTGAATGAAAAAATATGGTTTAAAATAAAATCTTTACACAGCTAATAAATAATGTATTTTAAATAACTATTTCATCATACAAGACTTGTATGGTTCAATATAATGATTCAAGAGAAATGGAAGAATCAATAATTGTATAAATATTAAAATATTTTGAAGGTGACAAAGTGAACAATATATAATAAATATTAAATATTGAATTTTGTAGAGTAATTAATTGATATGATTTGCTTTAGGAAATGCATGAATTACATAAAGTAGAAGATGTAGAGAAATTTATGTTAAATCATGGTGAAAAGATTGTAGATATGTTAGGTGAAGAAGTTGATAGAATAGAGAAAAAACTCAAGGTTAGAATGGTTAAAGCATTAGTTCAATCTCTGTACCAAATAAATGGAGCCAAATAAGTGAAATGAAATGAAATTGTGTTTAATGAAGCATGTGTACACTATGTAGTGTGTTATTAGGGATATTTTGCCTGGTCATAGGCACTACAACCTACTCCATCCTGCCCGTCTGACAAGGGGAAAATTCTCAACCAACACCAACATAGATCCCTGTTAATAAGCCACCACAGTTCCTAATAAGGATTCTTTTAAATGAATCATTCCAGATTCAGAATCAAAGCTCTTTTTTCCAAATCCAGGCACATGAAGCTGCTGATTTCTGTGAATTTGCTTAAATTCCATATAATGGTCATTTTCAAATAAACAAGTGTCTGTCTTCCGTGAAATTGAATTGTAAAACTATTTGTTTGTGACTAGTATCTGGAAAGAGAATCAAGATTTGAATTCTTGGCAGTGAAGCATACTCTTAGTATGTTCTTGTTGTGTTTCAATTTTTTTTTATCGCAAGTAATAATAGAGTTGTCTCCCAAATTGGAGTCACTATAATGATGTAATTGTGAACACTTTGCAAGAGTTATTTAAAACAAGTCGGGAATGTAAACTATGAACACATTTTAACCTGTAAAACTTGATGAAATATTCTAAAATGTGATCTCAGATTTTAGAGACGTTAGTATAATATAAGAATTTGATCTACGGTATCTTTAAAGATGTCAATATTTATAGTTATAATGCTCCTATTATTTATTTCTGTTTCAGACTAAACATCCTGAACTACGCCATGTTGATTTAGAAGCCTTATGATGTGACTGGTTAATAAATTATTGTGATAATTCCAGCAGAACCAAAGCACAAATATTGATGTCTGAAATTAAAGGATATGTTTTTGTTGTTTACAATATCTACAGAATTATTGTCCTTAAATATACTTTCCATCATACTATATTGAAAATGAACTCTACACCTTTATTTCCATTTTATTTATTCATTCTTTGAATATGGCAGTCTATCTAGACATTTGATTTGTTGATGTTGTATAGGGCTCCAAAAGCATTTTAGTATGGCTTTTAAATATCAACATCAGACTTATATAATGAGATGCACTGAAAACATCACTTTTATGAATAGATGGTTGTATATCTCATTTGAGAGACACATTTGTGATTCTGAATGTAAGACATCAGATCACAACATAGCACATGAGAATGATGTTTTTACGATTGCATAATTAAACCATAGATCAGTTCTTTCAAGCACATACAATTGAATGTTGCAAATTATATATTTATGATGTGTTATAAAATGATGCTTTGAAAAAGAAGGGATCAGTACAACTCCTACAGTTATGTGGAAGACACAACAAAATTCCAGGTTTTAAAATTAACGCATTTGTCTTCAAAAATAACTTTATTTATATTCCCCCATTATTTAAGATAAATGTGTATGTTACATACCAATTTAAAGGTCGTTGGATACAAAAGTTAAATTTCTCCAGGGCTTGTCACATACATTACTAGATATTTGTGAATTGTAATTGTTTATCCTTCAAAGGACTTATTTATCCGGTTGACAGAAAAACTATGATATAGATGATCTATGGGATGAAAAATCTCCTGTTCGTTCTTCTGAAACTAGTGTTATAAGTTAATAATACTAAAATTTACCATATAAATCAATTCGTCGAAAGTAAATTATTGCTATATTTGTATGTCTTTAATAATACAGGTATCTATATTGTGACATTATATTATATTACCATAAATAATAAATTTGCATTCTAAATGCAATAATACTGGTATCCATACTGTGACAGTATATTACCATGAATAATAAATTAGCATTTTAAATGCAACTTGTAGTGGAAATTGTATAATATTATTTCTTGTTTTATTATGAAAGAGTATGGTTGTAGTTTTTGTATATTAATTATTGTATTGTTTTGTAGATAATTATAATGAATAATTCTTTCTTTGTACACATGGTATATAAAAGAAATATTTATTTCCTGAAAGTCAGAGCAAAACAGTTTGCAGATTTCATTATCCGTTCAAGAAATCTTTTTGAAACTTTGTACAAACATCAACCTGTTATAGTATTTTATTTTCTGATGTATAAGCTTAATGTTTAACATACAGCAGCTGATTGAACTAGGCAAAGGTTGTTGTGCAAACGTTACAGGGAATAGCGACCCTGCCTTGCCGAGCTATTGATATCATAGTATGATCTTCTGATAAGTCCCATTGATATTCCAAGAAGTTGTTTTTTCTTGTGCCTGCCAAACAAATGCAAGGGCGTGAGGTGGTGATTACTAGTCATCTTGTTTCATTTATCTCCTAAAAGAAAATACAGGGAAATTTGTTTTGTGAATGTTTATTCTGAAGAAAAAAAAAGTGTACAATTTAAGTTAGACAACATCAGGTGCGACCATTATTATGCCCTATAATTGGTTGTTTTTTTTTGGGTTTTTTTAATATGCCAATTTGTCATCTAAGTTATTTATTTTCAATTGCCATGCACATATTTAAGAAATGATAATGATATTAGTATTGGCCATCAGATTTTTACTTGCTTTACAGTATTTTAATCTATTAGGGTATAAACTTTTATATCTTTATAACAAATTTTAAGGCTAACATATTTCGTTTGTTAATGCTGTACACTTAAAATATTATAAATACATAAAGTAAAATCCCACAACTCTGAGATTGTGTCACATATTTTAATAAAAATTTCTCTAAAACTCCATCAAGGAAATGGGAGAGATGTCCCAACTATTAAAACCTCCCCAAATTGACTTTAATGTTAATTCTTTGCCATTCCTTGACCTATTACATTTGTTTGCCCTTTTGTTCCTCTCATGATCCCAATGCTTCACGCCAAATTTGAAATAAATTTGTTAAAAACTGTATCGCGTACAGGAAGGTTTTAGCCTTGGCAAACAGAGTTGAATCTAGAAAGGAAGGTTGCAGAACACTGATTATCAAATTTGAAATAAATTTGTTAAAGACTGTAGCCTCTATCGCTTACAGAAGGTTTTCTGCTAACCCAGAGTTAACTTGTGGAAGTTTGCTGAAGGCTAAATGTTGGTCCTCGCGAACCCAATGCTTCGCATCAAATTTGAAAAAAAAGAGTTAAAAACAATAGCCTCTATTATCGCTTTTACAAGCTTATCTGCAAAGGGGAGTGTGTGTGTGTGTGGGGGGGGGGGGCTATATTGTGAAAGGTCGCGGAATTCCTATTATTGATAATCCGGATGGGAAGTCATGGGAGATGAGACGACAAAATACATTCACATCAGCATGTGTAGTATAAAAATTATGAAGTATATTTATTCTGATGAAACTTAAAGATGCATTATGGGAAATTAGAGTTTACTATTCTTGCTATAATGGTTTAAAAAAATATATAACGAAAACAGAATATGGTGAAAATTTCAGACAAATTGCTCCAGTCTGAACCGATCTATCAGCTTTTGAATTTTGGGCTAGCCTCGATCATCATTATGATAAAAAACAAAGTCTCGATTATCCATTTATTGATTTAATTATTTTCCAAAAAATGTATTCCAATCCACTAAATATTGCATTCTAGCGATGGCATCAAGAGTTGAATATGATCTGGATAAGTTAATTAATGTCTAATTATTATTTAGATAACATTTCAGGCCTAAAGAAAGATCTGCAATAGGCAAATTGGCTCTTGCATAACCACAGTAGCTTTTTAACCAGGACGAGCGGGGTGGGGGGGCAAAGAAAAGGGTTTAGTCGTTCGGGTGGGACAAAAACCTGAGGTTCTGTGTACACCTGGATGTGAATGTAAAGAATCCTTGGGGTGTCGAATTCAATTACTGCCCTGGCCAATGCAAATTTTCCTTCATAGCACACTGTACAATCTGATTAAAACACAGATTAGTTTTTTATAGTTCAAAATTTCGTTTTACTTTCATCAATTTTAAGATAACATATTTTTATAACATCAGAATGGCACTTATATTTGTTGGAATGAGTTGTCTTATATCTTGGGATGAGTTGTCTTGGGATGATTTTTCTTTGGGACGAGTTGTCTGTATACCATTATCACATTGATCAGCAGTGATTCGCTACGCTACAATCACTGATAAGGATGACATCGATGCGACTTAATGAGCCACAAATATTAACCTTTTTTCCTCCGACAAATTAAATTCTAAAACATTTTTGTTATGTATTAGAAAAACAAATAAAGACGTTTGAAATATTTGTAGGTAAAAATTATTTCCGATTTATGCTATAGGCTGCATTCCATGGGCACAAATTCTCGTTGCAAAAATATTTTCTTTCCAACAAATCCGGTCAAGAAGAAATTTTATCAGTGTTTAGTTAATATTGTGATAATTGTTTGCTGTAATGTTCTTCAAAAAATGTAATAGTTCTTTGATGTTATTCTTCTTTGAAATCCGGATTATTTATTGATAGTAAAATTCATAGTGCGCGAGCGTACGTAACTAATGTACGAAAATTAAATGGTAGCGTGTCTGTGATATTCAGAATGATCTTCATGTAGTGTAGGCCATCGAAAGTATAAAAAAACGAAACGAAATATAGATCTGTATTGTAATCAGATTGCACACTGCATGATAGCCCGGATGGAGACGATAAGTAGGATTTTCAACTCCATGTCTTTCTTCCTTTCATTCAATCATCATTAAACTACACCGAGAAACAACTATGGAAAAGTCCTTATGTATTTGATTGATTCTAGAAATATAAAGTCGAGCGAATCTAGGCTAAAATGTTTGGGTAATGTATATACCTTTCACAAAACACCTTGACTGCATCAGTGCTCTCTGCCCTGGTGAAAATATTTTTAAGATGTTTTCATCATTCGTCAGAGATACACAAAAAGGACGGCCAACCTAACATAATTTTGCAAACTTGAGAAAGCACAGAATGTAATGCTTCTTGTCTCGTTTCTTTTTAGGGCCTTCATGATGGTCAAGACTCTAGAACTTGAATTTTGTCAATATCCACAGACATCCGGTTTATTCACCAACAAAAGTGGATTTGACCCCAAAGATCATTAAAAAATTATGATGTAATCTGAAATTAACCATCTTCCGGGTACATTCGGAGCAGTGAATTTGAATTGAAAACAGTTCCGCAAGTGCCGTCTTATTCTGGGTCTGTTTGAGCTTTATCCCGGTAAAATGGGCCCATAACCTCAAACCATTCTGTAAGTGGGTTCCACCATTGTTATTTGCCACCAAAATTATTTCATTGCCGACGATAAGCAAAATTTCTATATAACAACTATTTTCTCGTTAAGCTATTTGTCTCAAGCCAAAACTAGCAACGTTATTTGGCCACAAAAAAATACGGATTTGCAAGGTAAACAGTTTGGTGTAGGATTGGTGTAAATGATTAGATTATTCATCCACTCCACCATTAGGAATACTGATATCTTTTTTCGGCGAATCAGATGTCTATTAGTATTCAAACACCATAACAGCTAGCTGTACTAATCTTTGACCTTTGAATATCTGACCTTGAATATATAATTTTTTTAGAACTTGACGTTTGTTATGACGTGAAATAAATCTGTTTGCGTGGTTCCCCGGTGTCAAATTTTGATTCGGTTGTTGGCAAAGCAAACGTAACACATAGCTGCTATTTAATCTGAAGTCATCAGATGCATTTTAACGAATCGATCTTGGACTATTTTTGTTTTATCAACAAATCCTATGACAACAAAACACCTCCAAGTTAATTCACGATCTGATATTAATTATAATGATTGTGTTCCGTCCAATTCATATAAAAGACAAGTTGTTAGAGTGCTTCGACCTCTCCGGTTACAACTCCGATCTGAGCATCATGAAGTTTGCCGTAGTTTCAACTCTTCTCTGTGTCGCTATATACCTGCCCCGACCAGGTATGGGTTGGGGAGGTTATGGAGGTGGCGTAGCCCCATCAAACCCTGGATTTCCATCCAATCCTGGATTTCCATCCAATCCTGGATTTCCATCCAATCCTGTACAAGATTATGGAAATCCTTTCCTTCCTGAAGCTCCTACATTTCCTGTAAACCCAGTTGGCAAGCCATCTACACCAACTAGACCCAAGCGACCAAAAAAGCCAAGCCGTGGTAAGATAACTAAATTATTTTTGAAACTATATGAATCATTCATTTTAGCATGGTCTCCAGTCTATGGATTATATCTGTTCTTGTTTGTCGTTCAACAACTTGCAATTAACAACGGCTACTGGTGTAGGCCTACTCTCAGTCATGTTACAAATCAACTAACGGAATGATTCCGACCACATCTCGACGTTAAAACCAATTATTGCGCAAATGATACAGGTTTATGTGAGGTTTATATGCAGTCTATTTACTTATTTTGCTGCTGGAAAATTTTATGTTTGTTTATATATTTTGTCCATTGGTTGAACTGTGCTAGTCTTTCATTTACTCCAATATAGACTTGAAACGTCAGATGTTATTTTTACAAATAATCTGTCGAATATCACTCAAGACTGATTAAATTACGGATAATTTCAGTTCCGCAGAACCGATTTGCGTTGGAGGTCACGTTGGTGAACTCGACTGGATTGTGCGTGTAGACTACTGTTTTGTTCTGCTCTTTTCCACCATGTTGGTGTCCCCGGACATCTGTGCGAAGATCGACTTCGGCTAATCCCCGATACCAAGCAGAATGCGGTTTATTTCAAAACCCTTCTTGGCCCATGTGTAGCGAAGACAAATAAATCGAAATCTGACCTGTAGAAAACGAAACGAAATAGGGCCTGTGTTTGTCGATGTTTATATAAATTGATCTATTGAACATCCGGAAAATTTTTATAATGATGCATTGATAGATATGGCAGTCCGGTGGGCTACTACAAAAGTTATTTCGACGAGGGGATGATGACTGTGTTTGTGTTAAATGACGTAGATAGCCGAAGATTAGATGTGTTAATAGTAAAAAAAAAGAATTGTTGTAGCTATAGGAGAGTCGGTGCTCGGAAAGTTGACCCGAGTCTTTAACCTTATTTTAATATTCTGGTAAACTCGAATGTGACTTTTTGTCTAATCAATTGCTGGTATCTAAAATATCTGTTTTAATTATTTACATACACGTGTCAAAGAAATACATATTTGTAATTTGTAGGTGGAAGAGCTAACCAATGTAAGACGTACGCTAACAGAGGAAGTTGTCGATTCTATAAATGTTTCAACAAGATTGAATCTGACTGCCTGGCCAAGGGCGAATTCTTAATCGACGATTTAGAAACTTTCTGCCTGAACACCAAACCCTTGATCAAACGAAACAGATTCACTGCATGGGTAAGCAAGATATATGTAAGACCTGATATCCGGATATATTCCCAGTGTCAAGGACGGAACTGGGGTGATGTGTTCATGGACGTAACAAGAATCCTCAACGCACTTTTGCCATGGGAATTCAATCAATTCATACTTTGTTTTTTAAATTCTAAGAAAAAAACAAAAAAATATGTTTATCAAATATGTACCAAAGTAACATTATAACAGTTTTATTATTGACACTTATATCTGAGCAGGAACTAGCAGATATACATAGAGAATGGCTTTGTTTTATGGAAAAGTTTTAGAGTCGCACCGATTCAGACATTGTCAAATCAGTGCATTTTCTTGATATTTTCAATTGTTTTTTTTTAAAGAGTTAGTTTATTCGCTATAAATTAATGGGTGACCGGGAACAAGCAAAATGCCTATGTCAGACCCCTATCCCTATTTACAATACAAACTATATATATATGCTAATAATGAAAAGCAGTAGATACTGTGTATACAACTCGTACTTTGCTGAATACACCTGAAGTATTATGGTTTGTTATAATAATAATAATAATAATAATTTAAAATCCTTTAGTTAAATTGAAATATGAGTGAACTGTTGTAACGATAAGATTATTAATTACGTTGTCGAGTGTTATACTCATCAGGTAATGTAGAAATTGGTTCTCGTCGAAAAGTATTGAAATTTGGACAGTGTAAAAGATAGTATTCGCTATCCCCGAAAGGGTGACCACGATTGCAAGGTGGTTTTTCAGAAATATGTCTAAAAAACATGTGACCATTTAAGTTACTGCACGAAATCGACCTCAATGTGTAGAGCACTCATTCACATCGCATTTCTAATTATTAGTTTATATAACATTTGAAGCCAAAATAAAGACCTGCAATACAGGCAGCTCTAACTTTTACATAATACACCATTAAATATTTCTTTCATTATTTATTCCATCATGATTTGACCTATTGTAGAAAAGGGAATTCATGACTCGATGACAATGTGCTATCCTTTGAAATTTATCTTTATTTTTTTCATTTCAGGGGAAGAAATACATCAACAGTGTTCGACGTTGCCAGAACGCTCTATTGGTTAATTTTGTCTCCAACAAGAACTGTGGCGCTATCAACGGTCAAGCTACTGTGGCCCTACTTGGATTAGAAACTGGTGCCGTCGATCAATCGGATTGCTACTGGCAGAAGGAACAATTCTGTGAAATAATTGGTAACGCCCGGGACAATGCCGCTTTGGTAGAAGCAGTCTTTGGAGATGATGATGGTGGCTTTGACGATAATCAAATTGCGTAAGTTGCTTTTCGATATTTTTTCAATTAATACATGCGTAAGCTGCTTTTCAATATTATTTTTAATTAATACATAATATCTTTTACTTCGAAACGTTATCGAATTTCCGGTATCTTCCATGTTGACGTTCTCCTTGGTTTCGTTGCCGTTGACGACCTTTGGTAATTGCAAAATATCCCTAATGGTACTGAGGTGAAATAAAGATACCATTTCATTTCATACTATCGTATTAGTGTATGACCGTGAAGATCCAGAATAAAACACCGATATCATTATCCTGTAGCACGTCCGTTTAGAAGTCAAACGTCGATTTTGGCCACGCTTTCAATAATATTAAAGTAGTCAACGCCATAGCGGATCGAAGAGAAGAGGAAGATGGGTATCGTCTATTTAAAAGTTAACCGTAGGTTCTTTAGATGAATCCAAATCAGATTGATCAAAAATATAGTATAAAAACTCAGTACCGGTATATGGAGTACTTCCGTCATTTTGAACCAAACATACGGCTTCATTTCTCTATGGCAGTGGTTCTCAACCTTTTATTGCCAACGGCACACCTTGGAACACATGACAAAATAGCGGCACACCTGGCTAAATATATATGAAAAATATTTGGATTTTGCAAAATAAAAACATGGCAAGTCATAGACGGCATACAACCGTATAGAATGACTCACACTAAATAAAGAAAAACACAGCTATGAACTTACTTTATTGCAGTGTTTCGAATTTCATCAGTCAAATAGCTATAGCATCATTAGTAAGAAATTTTCTTAGTGCGTCGTTCAAAATATCGCAGCATACCTGTGTGCCATGGCACACTGGTTGAGAATCACTGCTCTATGGTTATGTGTGTAATGCTAGATCGGAGAATTTTACCTGGATAGCGGCGTATCCACCTACGCTTTACCGAATTCCAACTGTCAATGGTTTTATTACGTCCACGCCATCCGAAAAACTAGACACTACTCCTAACTTGAGATTCTCCTCTGTCCTCCCCGGAATTTCCAAACCAGAACGTATAGACAAATACAAACAAATTATTATCTACCAAAACAGTCAAATAATGATTGTTTTTATCATTTAGTCATAAGATATTAATTTATACTCATAAACATTATAACCATTGATTCTCTTTTCAGACAAGCTGAACATTTCCAATATTTGGCTACTTTCTGTCCACAAGATGCCCAAAATGTGTTTCAACAGAACTTTGTCAACAACTGTCCACCCGGAACTATTCAGGGCCAAAATGATGAACCACCAACTACACCAATGATGATGATGATGGGTGGTGGTGGTGCTGACTAATCGTTGTGATTAGACAAACTTTTACTGCTTTTGCTTACCCTAAATAAATTGCCAAATTGCCAGATAATAAAACTAATGAAACTAATTGTATTATTTATCTTTATTGTTTAAAAAACCCCAGGAGATTTATAGAAACTAGTTGTCACCCCGGGTTATACAATCTAATTAACCACATGTTATCCTTTTCTTTCGTTCGAAGGAGCCACAGTGGGCCGGTGACTCAGTGAGTAAGACGTTGGCTCGCTAACCTGAAGTCCCGTGTTCGATCCCTGTGTTGACCGAGAAAGTTCATTGGGATTTTCCAGCGTGGTTCCTCCTCGTCAGTGGTAAAGGACCGAGGGCCTGCCAAGGGACAACGTACATTCGTTCGAATGGGGCAAAAAACTGTCTCCGTTTACACACAGGTGTGCACATAAAAGATCCCCTGGCAGTTGGAATTCGATATAAGAGTATGCCGTAGCGCCTCTGTCCGGACCCTCCCCCCCCCACCCCGTATGGCGTATGCCCGACTTTATTAGCAGAAAAGTAGGACGTTAAACCCTATTTCATTTCATTTCGTTCGTTCGGGAGCCTTAACATCCGGTTCCACATATCCTATTTCGATCCGTATTTTATAGTTCCAAATTTAGCAATCGAACTTTAAATTTAGTGGGATATATTCTAACCAATAAGTAGTCAAATACAAAATCAATGTATGTTTTGTTTCCTCGAATACCGACAGCACTAATTCGATCACCACGTACAGGAGTAAAACGAGTACCCATTCAGGTGATCTTCTAAACATATTTCCTCTTACCAACCTTGAACACTGAAAGATACGAAAGGGTCCCCTTTGGGTAGAAGTGAATACAGCGGGGTGGCACATAATGTACATCATCGTCATTTTTAGAAGGTAGTTAACCAGTGGGCAGGGGCAAGGGAATCCAAAATATTGTTTGGTATTATTAAAATTTTCATTTTCATATATGCCAAGCCGATTTGACTTTAATCTTTAAACTTTTGAGAAGTGAAAATCCCACCCTCACTGAAACAACGAAGCAAGACTTTAATAGATGTTCACGGATAATTAACATTCAAATGGGCCTTACAGGTATAATCTGGCGGGTTCTTTTTTAGTCAGCTTCCATCCATTTAACAGATACATTCTTAATTCCCCACATCTTAACGATGAATATCTTGTTGTAAAGCTAATAAGGTAAAGATCATAATTTATTACACATTTTTGAAACAAAAGCGGAAACCATGAACACCTTTGTACAGGCCTTGAAGGTTATCAAAACATCTAAGAATTAAGAATATGTCTTGGTTTTGCTCAAAGATTTAAGATAATCGCACGGGTTTACGTATGCATCTATTAATCAATGACGCCGCGGACCACAAACATCGATAAAAAAAAAGACAATTTTATCGACCACGACAATAGCATAAGCATCCAATTTTAAATGTTCCTTACCATCCATTATAAACGTTTCGTACCAAATACTAAATCATAAAGTGGGACACGAATTTTTATTTCTTAACTTCTATATAAGGACTTGACATACAAACAAGACATGAGTATAGTATTATAGTTTATGTAACAATCTATTCTGAAAACATACTTTCGATACTTAAAAGAAAAGGTTTAAAGTTAATCAGCGCCTGCGCCTGACATCATCATGGTGGTAGTCTGATAGTACTGTTGTTGAACTTGTTGGTTTTGACTGTTCTCCAGAACAAGGAAGAATTTTTTGTTAAAATTATCCTTGAACACCTCTCGGACGGTGTCATCACATTTGACTAAAAGGTTGTTAAAATGGATGAAGATTCTGAAAGGTAAAAATAAACCAATAAAGTTTGAGTTGGTGAATTAACTAACCTGAAGCTTACTTTTACCAAATCTCTTTATCCAATCCCATCATGAGATCTATTGGAAACTACGTTCTAGAACGAAATGTATGCGTTAGATGTTCTCAACGCCCTTTTTTTAAAAAAAATGTTAAACTGTACTTACTGATACTGGGTACTACCTAGTCCACCATAAATATGGAAAAGAGCAGCACAGTTTTGTTCGTTACTGACGATATCACAGAACTGTCCGGATTGGTAGAAACAATCGTCTTGAGTAACACCTCCTCCTGGTAATGGTTGACTAACCAGACTGTCATTCACACCAATATTGATGAGGTCACATATAACTTCGTTGGTGAAATTCAGAAGAATACCGGTCTGACATTTTCTCACAGACTGCATGTACTGAGTTCCCTGGAAGTAATATTGTTCAATTTTACACCTCGAATATCACTGGTTAGAATTTTGCGCTTGACTGACTACTCGGGGGTAACTCAACATAGTAATCTCCAAGGGTATTTTTTTTTTATTATACTAGCTATTGTGCTGAGACGCGCCACTTCACTCACAGAATTATACAATAAATACTTATTAGCTATGTGGTCTCATTAAATGAGAAGTGGTAGGCTATGAACTGTTAAAAAAAAGACACTACAACGAGGCTAATGGTTTAGACAAACTTGGTTCGCTGTGGATTTTACTAAGGTCACTGGAAGGCATGACCACATACAGAAGCTTCTTGAATTAGTAGGGTGATGTGTACATATCTATATTCATTGTTGAGTCAACTTTTGGCGATAGATTGTCTTATATTCATAACAGTATCTGCCAAACTAGCTTCAAATGCAGTGACTGGTCAAATGCAAACTATGCGAATACATAAGTTACTAAAGCAGGTCAAAAGTGAGTCGGACAAATTGTAGGAGTTTGGATTTGGGTCTTGAAACCGAAGTTAACTTAAAGTTGCAATTGCAAATTTTCAAGTTATATTTTTAAAATGTATTAAAATAAAGCCTTAAAATAGATGGTATCCATAAACAGTCCTACCTTGTTCAAGAATAATCCTATTAATCTTATAATTCGCTATTGCCAGCTGAGAAATTGGCAAAAATATCATTTTTAACTTCAAATTCCAACGTTGGAAAATGGCTGCCCCATGTTGTCAATAGCAAAACAGGGGAGGTAATTGTGTTGTAATTTCCTGTGTCATATATTTTTAAGGGTGGGAAATAATGCCCATGATCGTATAATAGTGATTTGATAACCTATTGAGCAAAAGACATAGAAATAATTATGTTTTGACTTTCTTAGAAAATTTGAAATTCTCGCTTTAAGATAATACCGACCACCATGAGAGCCACCAGCTACTACCTTGGTTATTTAACCTCTACTCCAGCAAAAGTGATACCGCAGACAACGGTTTCATTTGAATTGATAACTCTTGGTTCAAATGGCGACATACCTGGAAGTTAAACTCATTACGTTGTTGAATAGTAAAAGATTTTGTGCAGAATTCCTTGGCTTCAGGAACAAGGAAAGGAGATGAACATTGTTGAGCTGTTTGAGGCAAGCAGTTATACACATCGCAAGAATCAGGATTATTGGCAGCAGCACAAGTATTACCATTTCCTGCAAGTACAATAACAGACTACTGGTCCGTGCTGGATCTGGCTCTTAAGATATGAATAACTGTGACAATGAGGATGAGTTTAATACAAAAAAAAAGAGATAAGCCTGATTTCATTGATACTAGCAAAATAACTATATGTAAATAAAAAAACCACTATTTCTTGGCACCGTCAACATCATGCTGGCAGTAGTTCAAGAAGGTTAAGCATATGTATATATACAAATGATACATGTAGTCATGTTTCTAACGGTTAAAAGGAAAGATAACGTTAAGACTTCGTTTTCAGATACCAAATTCAACTTTGTGAGACACATGGGTTGTACATCCATTTTTTAAAATGAAAGTATAGACTACTCCTTATCTGAATAACATTTAATTGCAAAACTTACTATTCTGTGTATCGGTACCATATCCTGCAACAAAAACGTGTACATTGTATATAAAATACAATTACTGGTATGTTATACGTATAGCGCAACGTTTCGACAACTGTTGTTATGTTTAAATGATTTGGGTGGCATTTTGTACAATAACAATAAATAATTGGACAAAAGATCATGTCTAAAAACTCAAGATATTTTTCTCGCACGACCTCACGGTGGAGCGGTAGTGTATGGCACTGGCTCGCAAAAAAGGAGTTACCAGCTCCGCTCCATCGGAATTTCCAGTCACGTTAAAGGCATTTGGAACTCGAAATCAGAGTTTCTCCATAGCAGACTGCATGGCGTATGACCCGTCTTCATTAACCTGGTGTTTGCAAAATACCGTGATTTCACAAATTCCGGTACCGGTACCGTTACTGACTGACACTAACCGAGAGAAGAAAAAATCGGGAAAACGCTCACACCAACAACGAACACGGATCGTCACCGACTTGGTGTATTGTATACTGGGAATTTCAAAAAAAAAGTTTTCACCGGAAGCCGGCTAGTTACTTTCGTTTTCAACTCCACGTGAACGCCGGACGGTCACCTGTCATTAGGTAAAACACTGCCGAGAACGTAGTCTCGGTCACCCAGAACCTCCTAGTCTTCAACATAATATTCGTAGAATATTTTTCTGGATGATAGAGACTACCGAAAACGGGGAGGAAACTGGGGATATCCAGAACATGGACGAGAGCGCATATTTTTGGTCCATATTTCTGTCAGGAGGGAGATTAGAGAGTAGCAGAATGATATGCCAAATACAAAAATTTATTTGTAACCCCATATACCGGCACCGGTACCATAGATCGTGTTCACACGGTTTTCGGCAATGAGCAGCTAACTAAAGAATGGGCTTTCGTCCTCTCATGACCACAATTAGTCATTCCAAATTTGAAAAAAAATCCGTTAAAACGGTAGCATCTATCGTATTCACAAGACAGTTGTTGGCGAACCGACCGACCGACCGACGGAGAGGGGGACTACATAATACGCGTATACGGTATACAGTAGGCATATATATATATATAAAAAATAAAAATAAAAACTTACCATTTTGTGTGTTGGTGCCATATCCTGTAAAAAATGAGTTTGAAATTTCATTAGTCTTAGATATGATATTTTATTTATCTGTTAACTATTTTTACAACCTGATTCAAACATAGATCCTATTTCGTTTTTTATTGTTCAAAATTTTGTTTTATTTGTCTGTACTACACTAGGATCTCAAAGAGTTATTATATAACCTGCATTCTGGATAGCGCGAGGGATTAGCCAATGAAACCATCTGTTACGGCGACTTCTTGGCGTGCGATGCACGGAACTGTGGGTAAACCTCTAGAAACGTCAACGCTGATTGATTAATCAATGTCTGACGTCATAAGGTCAAAAGCCTCGCCTACGACCCCTGACATGACCTTCCAGTACAACTGGTTAGATCTTCATGTAGTGTAGGCCATCGAAAGTATAAAAATAAAAACGAAACGAAATATAGATATGTGTTTTAATCAGATTGCTATTTTTAAATCACTCTTTAAAAAGTTGAAAAACTTTTGTGTTGGTGCCATATCCCATCAAGAAAGAAAGGGTTAGAACTTTCATTAATCTTAGAAGCTCTGATATTTAATTTATCAGTTAACTAAAAGATGGCCATGTAAAGTGCGGAATACGCCCACACAGCAGCGTTGTCTCAACTGCAGCTTATGTGAAAGGAAAGCTTGGATGTTGAGCAAAATTGGTAAGGGGAGATAACACAAGATGGGGAAGCTGTGGGTTATGAAGATCGATAGGGATCGATGACGCCAATGCATCATGACAAATGTGGAAAAACGAATCTATTACAAACTATAGCCATTATCGTTTTCACAGGTTGTTTTGGAAAAGGGGACATAGCCCTGGAACTGAAAGTCGTGGAACGCTAAATTATAACTTCTGTTGTGTTCACAAAGGGTGTGGGGTGATCCCAGAACAGTTAATATCGATAGGAATCATTATCTCATGACCCCAATGATTCCTACTAAATTTGGAAGAAGTCCGTTAAGAAAGATATATTAAAACTTATAGCCTATATCGCGTTCACAATGTTTTCGGAAATGACAGAAAACTGAATATGCATATTGTTCATCCTTCCATTGCCCCAATGCTTCATACCAAATTTTACAAAAAATCTCTATCGTGTTTACAAGTGGGGATGACTCGATAGGGGTCATCCTCTCATCACCCCAATGCTTCCCACCAAATATGAAATAAATCCGTTAAATATCGATAAGGTTTGCCCTCTCATGACTACAACGCTTCACGTCAAATTTGAAAAAAAAATCCACCGAAATCTGTCCCTGTCTTTTGTTAGTCAATTATTGCGATGGTTCATATATATTCTGACAGCGCACACATAATATGTTATATACACTTTGACTTTTCATATATCTCCAATCGGGTTCAATCAAAGCTGAGATAAACACTTGAAAAGGTAATTAATTCAGTCGATGTAAAATATAGGCCATGACAAAGCCCAGACATTCGGTGGTTTCGAATACTGACAAAAACGTGACGCTGCTTTCAAGTGGATAGCAATGCAAGACGGAGCATTTTCTTTCCGCTCAGCAAGCGTAAAGGTTTATGGGATTAAACAGCATAATTTGATTGAATTACATGACATAAATTTATTCTCTTAATTGTGATTGACTTACCGTTATCAACCCGCCATTGGTCGTTGTTATTGTTAACCCATCCGTTGTTATTCCATGGGTCGGCTGTTGTTGCAACACGTGCATTATTGTTGTTATTCCAAGGGTCGTTGTTGTTATTAACACGTGCATTATTGTTGTTTGGCCATGGGTCGTTGTTGTTGGTAACACGAGCATTATTGTTGTTGTTGTTTGGCCATGGGTCGTTGTTGTTGTTAACACGTGCATTATTGTTGTTGTTATTGGGCCATGGATCGTTGTTGTTGTTGTTGTTAACACGTGCATTATTGTTGTTATTCCATGGGTCGGCTGTTGTTGCAACACGTGCATTATTGTTGTTATTCCATGGGTCGTTGTTGTTGTTAACACGTGCATTATTGTTGTTGTTATTTGGCCATGGGTCGTTGTTGTTGTTAACACGTGCATTGTTATTGTTGTTGTTTGGCCATGGGTCGTTGTTGTTGTTAACACGAGCATTATTGTTGTTGTTGTTTGGCCATGGGTCGTTGTTGTTGTTAACTCGTCCATTGTTGTTGTTGTTGTTTGGCCATGGGTCGTTGTTGTTGGTGACGCGTGCATTATTGTTGTTATTTGGCCATGGGTCGTTGTTGTTGTTAACTCGTCCATTGTTGTTGTTGTTGTTTGGCCATGGGTCGTTGTTGTTGTTAACTCGTCCATTGTTGTTGTTGTTGTTTGGCCATGGGTCGTTGTTGTTGGTGACGCGTGCATTATTGTTGTTGTTTGGCCATGGGTCGTTGTTGTTGTTAACACGTGCATTATTGTTGTTGTTGTTTGGCCATGGGTCGTTGTTGTTGTTAACACGTGCATTGTTATTGTTGTTATTGGGCCATGGATCGTTGTTGTTGTTGACACGAGCATTATTGTTGTTATTCCATGGGTCGGCTGTTGTTGCAACACGTGCATTATTGTTATTATTCCATGGGTCGTTGTTGTTGTTAACACGTGCATTGTTATTGTTGTTGTTATTGGGCCATGGATCGTTGTTGTTAACACGTGCATTATTGTTGTTATTCCATGGGTCGGCTGTTGTTGCTACACGTGCATTATTGTTGTTATTCCATGGGTCGTTGTTGTTGTTGTTAACACGTGCATTATTGTTGTTATTCCATGGGTCGGCTGTTGTTGCATCACGTGCATTATTGTTGTTATTCCATGGGTCGTTGTTGTTATTGACACGTGCATCGTTATTGTTGTTGTTTGGCCATGGGTCGTTGGTGTTAACACGTGCATTATTGTTGTTGTTTGGCCATGGGTCGTTGTTGTTGTTAACACGTGCATTGTTGTTATTTGGCCATGGGTCATTGTTGTTGTTGTTAACACGTGCATTATTGTTGTTATTCCATGGGTCGGCAGTTGTTGCAACACGTCCGCCAGTTTGGGTGTTAGCTCCCCATGGATCACCATTGTTTGTGTTGGTACGACCGTTGTTATTATTTGGCCATGGATCATTGTTGTTAACGCGGCCGTTGTTGCTATTGCTTGCACCTCCGGTTTGAGTGTTAGTTCCCCATGGATTACCGTTGTTTGTGTTGGTACGTCCGTTATTATTTGGCCATGGATCATTGTTGTTAACGCGGTCGTTGTTGTTATTGCTTACACTTCCGGTTTGAGAGTTTGCTCTCCATGGATCACCGTTGTTTGTGTTGGATGCGAATGGGTCGGCCGTGAACCAGCTTGCAAACGGATCGGTACTAAACGTGTTCTTCTGTCTTCTTGATGATGATACGGCCCACAAAGGATCATTCTGTAATCGTCTAACGGACCTTCGTCTTCTTTCAACTGTAAGACCACATATAGTTTGAACTGCGAGCCCAAGTACAAGCAGGGCACAGCACTGCGACCTCATGTTTGAAAAATTATTGTGTAAGATTCTATAAACTAGACTGGCCTTCTTATTTATAGATTTTTCGTCAACTCCGTTTTACTTAACGGGATTGAAGTAAGGAATATGATTGGTTAATTCTAATGACTTTCCCTAATTGTTTTGTAGCGAGAAAGATATTATGTCGAGCCCTTATGTAAAATTGACTTACCATTAGAATTAGGTGATTGACACGTCCGCGAGCGCACAAAAACAATTCCCGTGTATACTCAGAAATATTGACTGGTCAGCAGCAGTTGACCTATATGGAAGCATTTTAAAGGAGTTCTTACGGGGGGAAAAAACTAATTAAAATACCAAATTCAATGCTTTTTTCTGAAATTTGAGTGTCGGTATAAATATCAACAAATTCTTAGTCAAACGAAAACGAAGTTTTCAATAGAAGATTGTTAATAGTTTAGTACCGAGTTGTTAAATATCTGTCCTGTTTCATCTGTTAATCTGTCTGTATCGTCAACAGGATCTGGCGTCAGCTCTTTTAGTAGAATCTTACTTTTGACTTTAGTGTATACGATAAAATAAGCTCAAAGGTACCCCCCATTAAACCAATCACACTTCACACCTGTGAAGAAATGTCCTGTTTGTTTAAGGGTGAGACTCGGTTACTAGCTTTATTTATTTAAAGATTAAGGGGAACCTACACCTCAAGTCTAACCCCGTAGTAAATAAAGTAGATCTGACTTTCCTGCCATGGCACAATGGATTCACAATACAGCATGTCTTAACAATATAAAAAGTGCAAATAGATAGGAAATTCGTTTAATCTTAAATTGCACACCTCTCTTGAAAACGCCTGTACCAAAATGCACTCTCCAATTTCAATTATGCAACGCTTATCTTTTCAACCACAAGATAATTAAATTTTTCTAAGAGTCTTTGAAAATAATCTTAAATCCCAGTGAGCCACACAATACTGATATAAGAATTTTTATTTTTGAGAGTATTTCTTTTGCTATCGCATGAGAGTGGTAATGGGATTTAGAGCCGGGTCTTTGTGCTTTTACTAATGAAAAGGACATCTTTGCAACTCTCAAGTGACAAATAAATGTAAAAAGTTCAGAGATCAAGGGTGGTATTTTGATTTTTGGAACAAACTCATTGTGACGAACATCGGGTATGCTAACTCTTAAGAACTGACGCCCGCTCCGTTTGACACAGTTGAAAAGTTAAACAGCAGCCAAATTGGCAATAAATCCAGTCAACGTAAGAATCACTTCTAGGTTATATTAGGGAAAAGTCACTTAAAGTTGAGAAGTCGACAGGAGGAACAGCACCGCCACCCACACACCCCATTTGTAATGATAATACCTGACCCTACGAAGAAATAGTAATTCAGATTACTGTAAAGCAACAAGAAAAGGTGTAAGGTAATCGATATGAGTACAACAGCTTATATCAAATGAACTGAAAAAACGAAGCGGACTGATTCTTATCAATATCACCTCGTAAGGCTTACGTCTTGCCCAAAGTATGCAAACATCTCGAGAGTTCAGATCATAGTGAACATATTATTTATGGTTTTAGTAAAGTTGAATATTCAGTACAAGTTTCCGGCATCGCCATGAAACTCAACCGATATATATATCTTGTCAAACAGCACGACACTGCCATTTGCTCTCAAAATGGAGAAACCCAAATGCAAAAAAGTTTAGGTCAAAGCAAATTCATGATGACGTGATACAAACATTAGGTGGCAATGCTTCTTCATATATACTATTCAAAAAAAGTAGGGGATATTTGATTTTGGGGGCATAATACTAAAATATGCAAATGACTACGAAAAAAGTCACTATAGAACCTAACAGAAGAAACATTTCCAGTTACATGTGACGCCCAAACGCACCAATAGCTACCGCATGGAATGCATGTGATGCTTGGGATCATCATGGGGGTCCAACCCAAGATTTGCACGACTCTGACTTTGAATGTTACAGTCATTGTGGCATTGAATTCCAGGGTGGAAACATCAGTTTAATTGTTTTAGTGACCAGAAAACAAATTTTGATATGCGTCGGCTTACCCAAAATGAAAGGTTACGTGCCCTTGGCATGCTACAGATCGGCACAACACAGGCGGTTGTGGCGCGGACGATGAATGTTTCTCATTCTGTTATAAGCAGGCTATGGTCCAGATACCGTGATACACAATCTGTACAGGACAGACCACGCTCAGGTCGACCAAGGGCGACAACTCAAGCCCAGGATCGATTTATCCGTACCTTGGCCTTGAGAAATCGTGTCATCACAGCAAATCAGATCAGCGCTCGTCTTCAAACAGACACTGGAGTGAGAGTGAGTGGCCAGACGATTCGGAATCGACTGCATAGGGGTCACCTTCGCGCCCGACGTCCTCGCGTGATCCCTTGTTTGAGAGATCATCACATTCAGGCAAGACGTCGTTGGTGTAGGGATCGTCAACACTGGGATAATCGACGCTGGAGCAATGTGATGTTTTCAGATGAGTCAGGGTTCACTGTTGATTTTTTGGACAGACGTAGGAGGGTGTGGCGTCGTCGAAACGAGCGCTTCCAAGACGTTAACGTCATCAGACATGATCGATTTGGGGGTGGTTCTGTTATGGTGTGGGGAGGCATCACTGTTGCTGGAAGAACGGCTTTACATGTTGTTGCAGGGCGTGTTACAGGCCAGTACTACCGGGACAACATCTTGGCAGTCCATGTTGTGCCGTTCGCACGACGTCATGGCCGCCGTTTCATCTTCCAGGATGACAACGCAAGATGTCACAGGGCCAGGATCGTTACAGGTTACCTCCAACAACAGAACATCACCACATTACCTTGGCCAGCACTGAGTCCCGACCTCTCCCCCATCGAGCATGTCTGGGACATGCTTGGACAGAGGTTACGTCAACGTCAACAACGTCCTGCCAATGTCCAAGAACTTGCTGCTGCGTTGCAACAGGAATGGGACAATCTGGACCAAAATGACCTTAGACGTCTCATTAGGAGTATGCCACGTCGGATCAATGCTTGTTTGGCAAACAGAGGAGGATTTACCCGTTACTGACTTGGTTGTGATGCTGTGGTCACTTTGCTGTTTGACCCCGGGTATCATTTTACCCTTATAATGGTCAGTCTGTGCCTTACTTAGTCTAACGATCATTTGGAATAAATCGATGAATGTGAACTTAATTTCATTTTGTCATTTGTTTCTTCGTCAGTTTCATTAGGTGACTTTAATAACACTTAAAAATCAAATATCCCCTACTTTTTTTGAATAGTATAGTACAGTCAAACAATTGCATGCTGAATTTACAGAAGGCAGGATCAGCACTGAAGACGAACATCGGTCTGAAGTGACCATCCGAGGAAAAGTTGATGCTGTTCTCGGCACATTAATACAGGACAAGCGAGGAACTGTAGCTACTGTTTGGTACCCAGACTGAAGAATAAAAACGCCCGACCAGAGGCAAGGTCATGGTCTCCGTTTCCTGTGACTTTATATAAGTTATATAAAGTAGGGTTCGACCATAAATGGTGCAGATTACGCAGATGAAATGCGCAGGTTGTGTGATCAAATAAAAAAAGCACTATGCAGTCCTAGAACTAACTAGGAAAAAGTGCTAAATTTTGGATGTTTGGGTTTGGTCTGGCTCTAACTCAATATCACCCAAAGTCCTCGACATTGAAAACACGAATTATTTGTCAATTTAAATCAACATTTAAGACAAAATAAACCTTTTGCCATTGGTACACGAATCATGTACCATAACGCGTTTCAGCTCTATTTGTAGCGAGCGACTCGAAGAACGAGGCTAGACATATTCTACAAGTCATGTCAAACGGTCCGCCATATTCTTATCTGGAATAAATACTGTCGATGTACACTGGAATAACCAGGCGCTAGAGATTGACATTCGGCTGAGACTTCTGGCGTATTTCGCCGAACATAACTTATTAAAAATTACAGTAAAACAGAAACGATTGAATGTAAATCAGTTTATATATTAGATTCATATTACATAATTATATGTGCTGTGACCCATTTGTGTTAATTTCTAGGTCCCATATATTAGCGCTTTAGCTCCTTTAATTGTCTGGTACGCTGATCTAAACAACATGTCCGACTTGAGTAGCATTATTGCCCTGATATAAATGTTTCTGTTACATAACCGTTAACAACTATAAACCGGCCATTGGGAGTATCAAATGACAACATTTTAATTTCTAAAATAAAAAGCTCTTTTTATATAAAGTCTTTGATATCATTCTGGGGAATCCGTTGTTTAGTCTTCCAAACACCAAGTTTTATCACGGTGAGTTATTTTTGTACGCCAACATTTTCAAGCGGACGTATAGTGAGTCCCCCCTGTCCGTCCACAATTTATTTGTGGACACTCTGCAGATCTCAATTTTTATCCGATTTAGACGAAACTTGAAATATAGGTTTATCTTCCAAAGATCTCGGCGTGTATCTGTCCGTAACTTCAATGATTATGGCCCCTGAATGTTCGAAAAATTAGGTTTTTACCTTGTGAACTCTCTAGAATTAAGTCACAATGTTTATCCGATTTAGAAAACTGTTCAAAAATATAACCCTTTCGTATTTCGTGAAAATCGGACCAAAACTGCCAGACAAAATGGCCGCTCCTTGTTCTGTTCGCACATACTGTAAAAGTGTGTAATACAAGGCTGTGGTGCCTCTAGAGGTAACCATATTTTGATGAAACTTGAAAATATAACCGTTCCAATTTCGTGAAAATCGGTCGCAAAGACCATAGTACTACAAAAATCAGTATAACAATTTCAATACAGATCAGATATTTGTAAGGGGGGGGGGGTACACTTTTGGGGTATCATCGTAACATTACATCACATCATTGTAGCATAACATCACATCATCGTAGCATTACATCACATCATCGTGGCATTGCATCACATCATCGTAGCATTGCATCACATAAGTCTGAATGTAAACGGAAGATGGCTCCATGATTTGCGACCA